GCAAAACTCCACAAAATTTTACAAAAATAAATTTGTTGTATTTCCAAATTTGTCAGCATGGTTACAACCCAGCTCCTCTCACAGAGGAGCAAACACTCACGTATTCATAACTTACCAATACACCAGCAACTATGGAAGCAATGGCATTTCTTCTTTCACTCCAGTCAATACACTCACATTCTGGCCACCGGAAGTTGTCCAAGAATCCTGCCATTTCCTCACAGATTAGACTGCTGCTCTTGTTCTGCACTTACACATGAATTCTTCCATTAACAGCAGCGTTCTAAGCACCTGAAACACGGCCAAGAATATATTTAGCACAGAATGGTAAAAACTCAAGATGTTTGACAAACTGTCATGAGCAGTCTTTAAAATGTATATTTTTTCAGAAGTATTCCACACATTCTATAGCTGTTCCATTGAGCTTCATTAAATAAACTCCATCACAAACAGAGTTACAATATAAAATCAGCACATGAGCACTGCACTCGATGCATCGTACCTGAGATGTAAACATACTGCTTATTTATTTGTAACGTATAGAAACAAAAGCGGGAGCCAAAAAAGCAAAAACATTTCACCCTAAGCTTCACCACTGAACTGTAATCCTATCACTGGCAGTTAAAAAAAAGAGTAAGAGACATAGGGCAGGACTTCACATGCAGAGCAGAACCTGATCTTTGAGTCTGATAAAGGAATCTTAGATAAGATGCCTGTATTTCCTGTCTCCAAACAAAAAAGAGAATATAGTGTCTTTCTATCACAGTGGAAAAGCAATCACCTCAGTGAAAAACAACTAATACCAAGGGTAAGGGATGTCCTCCTTTGCAGCCGGATGATCAGTCACAGATCTTCATACATAGAAAAATGAAAGCAAAGTTCATCAGTGCTCGGGTGGCCCTTCCTTGTTTTGCACTCTCAAAATGATTCCAGATGTACTTCATTTGTTCCTCTTCAGTCCATGAAACTGTTTATCTTCCTCAAGCAGAAATCTATTCTTCCTGCCAGAATCTCTCTCTTCCCCTCACACCCTCTTGATCACTCAGGGCAGAATGCAGCCCATGGCTCCTGTCACTGTCTTCACTGCGGACTATACAGGTTATGCTCTGCAGTACAGCTGGCCACAAGCAGGAGTAGGTAATGCAGCATGTTTTTGTTGGTTTTGTTTTTTTCCTTCTCTACTGAGAACAATGGCATTTCTGTCAAATCCACCAAATTTATTATCTTGCCTGCTAATACTCTCAGAAGGAGCAGCTGAGGGAGATAGGCTTGCTCAGCCTGGAGAAGAGGAGGCTCAGGACAGACCTCATCGCTTTCTACAACCACCTGAGAGGATGCTGTGGTGAGGTGGGGGTCAGTCTCTGCTCCTGGCTAACAGTGATAGGACAAAGGGAATGGCCTGAAGTTGCACCAGGTGAGGTTCAGGTTGGGTATCAGGAACAACTTCTCAGCAAGAGCGGTGCTGCAGTGGCACAGGCTGCCCAGGGAGGTGGTGCAGTCACCGTCCCTGAGGTGTTCAGGAGCCGTGTGGATGTGGCACTGAGGGACGTGGGCAGTGGGCGTGGGGGGGTGGGCTGGTGGTTGCACTGGGGGATCTTAGAGATCTTTTCCAGCCTTAATGAGTCTATGATTCCATACTTTTTGAAGACCTATTTTTTCAAATCTGTATTTTCTTTCAGATTCTTTTCCCGTAACACACAGTTTTAATAGTACTGATGTACTTAAAGGTGTTAAATGGTTTGCTTGGCCAGCCAATTTAATTAAACCAATGTTCAAAGCAAATAACAGGTGGCATCTGGTACATAGTACTAACATACGTATGTACATAGTACGTACATCACACAGTAAGACCCGTTCAACGCCACCAAGTCAGTCACAATAAACTTAGCACATGGTACGATCCTCTTACTTACTAAACACGTTTAAGCACTAAGTTTAAAAACAAAACAGAGGCATTTTGGTCACATGAAAAATCTGAGACAAAACCCCTCTCAACTGTTTTGAGTATCAAACAGAATTTTCACAACTGCATAAGTGACAAGTGAGTGAATGTAGTGCCCAAGGAGGCTGTGGATGCCCCATCCCTGGAGGCATTCAAGGCCAGGCTGGATGTGGCTCTGGGCAGCCTGGTCCAGTGGTTGGTGACTCTGTACACAGCAGGGGGTTGAAACTGGATGATCATTGTGGTCCTTGTCAACCCAGGCCATTCTATGATTCTATGATTCTAGTGCTGCACTGACCTTTTTTAAAATATTTTTTTTTAATATACATTTTAAGATATGGAGCAGCTTTATACCAAAGCATATTTTACCAGAAATACTGACTCACCAACCTACACTTTGCTGTAACCTCATCTTTGTGCTGAGAAGAAAAGCACCTCGATGATGCGAAGAGATGAGATAAGCACTATCTGCTGGCAGTCTTTCAACAGCAAAGACTTGTAACTGACTGTACAATTTTCCTCTTTCACTAGAATGGCAGACATTGGGAAACATAGCATAGTGTTTTTGCAACACAAGACAGACAAGAAGTTTGGAATTATTTCTACATGTGTCTAATGCTAGAAACCAGCTTCGATTTCACAAAGAGGAGTGCTAGAGTGGGCTTCTGGCAGTAATGGGGATAAAGGAGCTGATGTCTCTGCCCTTTTTCCTTATATAATGTAAACATTAACTGATGCCACGCAGAATTACACAAAGGAGTCTCTCGTACAATTACTTGTACAATCTCTCATACAATTAGAAGAGTGCCACGCAAGAGTAAAAATAACATTTGTCTTCATATTTCTATAGATCTGCATGTGTAGAGAATTCACAGTCACACAACTAAAGGCAGTGATGCACCATCCCTTCCTGCGTGACTGAGCGTTTCCTCACTCCATGCCCACCACAGACAGATATTTCTGTCTATGAGAGGACAACACCATCCCTGTCCAAGCAAGAACAAACTGGGACTAAAAAATAACTGGGACAGTTATAGCTGCTGCAGAAATAACATTCAGTAGGTGCCAGCACCTGGGTTAAAGCAACTAGGGTATCATTCACTTGAATGAGGCAAAACAACATACCACATGAGGCCTGGAACATAAAAGTTTCTTCGTAAAGTTAGGTTCTCTCCCCCAAAAAGACTGGTCCCATGTGAACAAAATGTGAAAGCGGTGATAAGGAAGCGAAAAAACCTGCACAGGGAAAACTGTCTTAGGCTGCAATACTGCTAGGCTACAAAGAATGGGGCCTGCTATTTCCAAGCAGAAAGCAAAAGACAGGCCAGAGGAAGAGCCACTGAAAGCCATGAAGAACATATTCCTTCCTCCCTTCCTCAGGGAAGGAGAAAGCACCTTTCACAAGACATCGGTTTGAACACGCTGTAAGCCATATACATGCAATACACAAGAACTAGTGGAGGAGCAGAGGATACTCGGCAGTCACTGCAAGGACCTTACAGTAGCACTTCCACCCCGCTCTGTGCCAGTGGTCCCCGCTGCACCACTCCCCCATTTCTGCCACCACGTGAGTTTCACTTTCAGTTTCCCACACACAATACCGTATCGCCTGCGTTTCAGGCACGGCGGTAAAAGAAAGGACAGGAACTTTCCGATTAATAACCCTACGGCTAAGGGGCCAAGGCATCGAACGGACAACGGCCCCCTGCAGCCCTCAGCACGACGCCCGGCTCCAAGGTGCCGTGACCGCTCCGTTACCCCGAGGGACTCAAGCCCCCACAGCGGCGACCCGAGCCCCGCCGGCGGCCGTCACGCTGAGGGCGGCCTACGGACCTCCACGTCCCCGCCCCCAGCCCAGGCCCGCGACTCCGCCAAAAGGTCACGGCACCGGGGCGGGCGGCGCGGCCGGGCCCTCGAGCCCGGAGAGCGCAGAGCTGCCGCGCGTTGCCCCGTCCGGGACGGAAGGTACCGGCCCGAGCTTCCCCCAGCAGCGAGAGGGGACGGTGAGAAGACGCGGCGGGAAGCGGGAGCCGTTGAGCGGAGAGCGGGAGCCGAGCGCACAAGCCCCTGCCGCCCCCGCCGCCCCCCTGCTCCCACACCCCTTCGCCCCCTACCGCGGCGCGAGCGGGAAGCGGCGGTCGCACGTACCCCCGTCCTGCGCGAGACTCTTCCGCCTGCCGGGGGGGCGGGGCAAAAGCCCGGGCTGACTGGCGAGCGACGGGGCCCTCCTCCAATAGGAAGCCGGTACCGCACGTCACTGGAGGCCGGGCGAGGAAGGAGCGCAACGATTGGGCGGTGCCTCCGCCTTCACGAGCGAAGCTCCGCCCCCCCCGTATTCCCGGGCGGGGGCGGCCCTGCCCCCTCCGGTACTGCTCCCCTGTGCGCGGGGCTCGGTGCCCTTCGCGTCGCTTTCTTCCCGTAACGCTGAAAGAGGCGGCACCAGAATCCTCAGCACAAACTTCAAACAACCCTCAGAACAAACTCCGGCTGGCACAAAAGGTTGGAGAGCCGGACTTCAGAGAGATGAAGGCAAAACACAGCAGTGACACTGAAACTGAATTGCTCCATCCCACATCTAGAGCAAATATAAACTACCATTCCTTGTTCGTCTTTCCTTTTTTTTAATCGTCATTATAATTATTGAAAAAGTGGCTTTTGCACCTGGCAGCTTTTCATGCTACAGGCACAAGGCTGGCTCTAAGTGCAGAGAATCAGGTCTCATCTGCTCCATTAGAACCAAGTAGCTTTAAAAGGTACACAAAAGCCATTCCGAATGCTGACTCATCCATTATGGCAACTTCAGTATTTAAACTGCTGATACTTAACTTCATGGAGAGCCAAAATGGATTCCATCAGAGTCAGATTTATTGGAATCCGGTTCCTATTTACGCTCGTGCAATGAATCCAACTTACAATTAGCGCTTTTCGCATGGGTCACTGCATTCATTTAAACAGCAATTCACATCCAATTCCCGTGGAACATAATGAGAATTAAAACCTAATGTTTCTCAGCCTGCTATCCAAAGGACATTTAAACAAGGAAGGATAAAGGTCAAAGTAAAGGGCACAGCCAGACTTTTACTTCCACTTTGTCCTTACAGTGTTTTACTGACGCGTCGGTTTCATGTTACAGAAACAGCATTGTACAAATCATTAAATCATTATACACCGAAAAGCACAAATTTTGATTTAAGCAGAAGGAAAAATGGGCTGCAATAGGAGAACTGAATTCACTTGTTCCTTAGCAGCATTCACAAAGAATTAATTACCCACAAGTGAACATCAGACACCCCAATTCCTTTCAAGAGGTATAACAGCCAGGTGGATTTTACATTTTCAGTGAATCTGAAATTTCTCTCACGCTACAGGTTTTAGTTATAAAGTGCATTCAAAAACGTGACAAGAGAGGTGAGCTAATATGATCTTATTTCAATGTAGTATTTAACCACTTCAGTAGAGAAGACTTCCACCCAAACCGTTTAACCCCTTCCCCTTCATTTTCCTTTGTGTCTGAATCAGAAGTCTCCGTGCTTTCCATCGAAGCTTCGTAGGTCTTTTGTGCTCGAATGATTTCTCTGTCTGCACTGAAGTGCACCATTTGTCTGCTCAGAATAGGAACAACTAAATTGAAGCTGTCAATTCTTTTGTTTAACTTCCTGATATCTTCCACGAACTGCTCACAGATGTGATTCCATTCCTTTTGCCTATACGGAGTCATTGGCTCTCCGAGCTTACTCCTGGATTCCACTAAGCTCTTTCTTAATCGCTCGATCGTTTCCCGGATTTCTTTCTGCAGGAGGATCCACTCCGGCTGGTATCCGTTGTCTATCAGAATCCTGTTCAGGTTGTGAGTCATAGGATCGATATGAGGACAATCCGAAAACTTCTGCAAAGGTTTTCCTTTCCCGCTGAGGTTGTCAAAATCTCCTTTTGCCATTGATTCCTGGATGAGGTCCTCGACCAACCGTTCAACTGCCTGAGTTATCTTCACTTTTTTGCTCTGTCTCACATCCTTGGCTCTCATAAGGTCCGTTGCAACGTACTGGTTTTCAAGTCTCCGCGTTCGGTATGCCAACACTTGCTCAGTAGCACGGTCTACTCTGAACTGCATGTACTGCTTTTCTCTTTGGCTTGGTGTTCCATAACCAACACCTTCAAAACTCAAGTAGTGTCTATGCTGTGGCGCGTTTGATTTGAGCTGGTCTTCCTCCTCCTCTTCCTTATTCTCAGTGGATTTCTTTTTGTTTGCCACATCATTAAGCACAACTCTGTACGCTTCTTCTACTTTCACAAATGCTGCAGAATCTGCTGTGATGGAACCGCTGTCTGGATGGTACTTTTTGGCAAGACTTCGATATGAATTTCTGATATCATCGAGTGAACATCCTTCCTCAAGCTCAAGAATTTTGTAAGAGTCCTTGACATTCCTTTTAGGTTTGTAGCCTGACAACATTCTATGGCCACAGATATAGGAAAACGGCTTCAGGCTTCTTGGAATCATTGCTTGATGTACCATTAAATGATGTCCTATGGTGTTAGTCAGCATCGTATAAAACCACTTTCTATTTCTTCAGATGCAGATACATTATAAACAAACCTACAAATACATTTTTTAAAAATCATATTAAGTATGTTTATGTGAACTTATACAGCTTGTTCAAGTCTCATCTTGTTATATTATTGGAACCAAAGAAATCCCTACCAAAAAAATCAGACCAGTATACTTTCTTTTGCAGACTAACAGTGAATTCTGAATTTCTTGTTAATTTCTACTGAAGCAGTACTAGTAGTATTACAATGTAAATGGAAATTAAATCACAATACAGCTTTCTCCTGCCATAGCAACAGCGGCACAGGTTTGTTATGCACGTCTTGCTTCCCAAAAGATCAAAGCTTTACTGCCTTTCTACAAACTCAGTGCAACATAAACTGGAACTATGCTTTTCATAGAGGAATTCCAGTGAACAACCCCAGCTGCTTCCCAACAGACTTGTGCTCCAGACCCCTCACAGCTCTGCTGCCCTTCTCTGGACACACTCCAGGGCCTTGATGTCTTTCTTGTAGTGAGGGGACAAAAACTGAACAGGGCCCTCAAGGTGCAGCCTCACCAGTGCCAAGTACAGAGGGACAGTAACCTCGCTGGACTTGCAACATAGCACAGCATGCAGATCACTGCTTTCTCTCCTACTAGGTTGTTGGTAAAGATAATTTTGTTCTATTTGTCCATTAAACCCACCTATGTACCACTTAAAAGGAATGATGATAGAATCACAGAATGGCCTGGGTTGAAAAGGACCACAATGATCATCCAGTTTCAACCCCCCTGCTATGTGCAGGGTCGCCAACCAGCAGACCAGGCTGCCCAGAGCCACATCCAGCCTGGCCTTGAATGCCTCCAGGGATGGGGCATCCACAGCCTCCTTGGGCAACCTGTTCCAGTGCCTCACCACCTCTGTGTGAAAAACTTCCTCCTAATATCTAACCTAAACCTCCCCTGTCTCAGTTTAAAACCATTCCCCCTTGTCCTATCACTATCAACCCTCGTAAACAGCCAATCAATGAATAATCTCTTGAAATTCAATATCCTGATATGAAGCGGTCCTTACAAATCGGGTTCTTACGCCCCTGGGCCCGCTCTAACTACGCTGGGCAGGCTGCGGGCTCAGGGCCGAGGCGAGCGGAACGCAGCAGCTAACCCCGCCCCTTCTGCTCCCAACGGCCGACCCCCACCAGGCCAAGGGGCGCTGGCAGACACGAAGAGGGCGCCCACACGCACTGCTATGTAGGGCGGGAGAGACACCCCTCCGCGCGACGCCGCCTCACCTGCTGCCTGCTGCCTGCTGCCCGCCGCCTCCCCGCTCCCCTGCCCTGCTCTCCCTGTCTCACACGGACGGCTCCCCGCGGCCCACCGGGGGGAGCCCGAGCGCCGCCGCCAGCTCTGCCGGGAGACACGTGACTCGGCGGCATGCGAGCGGAGGGGCAATGGCGGGCCCGCCGCTGGGGGCATGCGCGGTGCGGTTAGGCAGGCGGCAATATGGCGGCCAGCGCGCTTCTCTCTGAGTGCGTATGGTTATACGTGCGTGCGGTTGTACGTGCGATCTAGCGCTGAACCCGCCCTACCACGCTCACTGCCCACGTCCCTCAGTGCCACATCCACACGGCTCCTGAACACCTCCAGGGACGGTGACTGCACCACCTCCCTGGGCAGCCTGTGCCACTGCATCACCACTGTTTCTGAGAAGAAATTGTTCCTAATACCCAACCTGAACCTCCTGTGGCATAACTTGAAGTCGTTCCTTCTTGTCCTAAGAAAAATGTGGAATGCTTCATGAATTTGTGGAATGTTTCGGGACTGTGGGAATTTTGTTCCTGACTTAATTTTTCACACATTCTGGCTATTACAAGAAATCCTGGAAAGAAAGAGACAGAAGTGTTATTCTTCCATTTTATGAGAGATAAGACTCTTATTCTGGCAGTTTGCTGTTGAGTCATGGATAGAAAATGTGAAATAATCCACAAAAGTAAAGAAAAGGGTCTAGAAATAGTTGCTAAGCAATGCTTTAGGTTTTTATATGGCATGCGTGTCCACAAACCACAGCATTCCAGGACAGTGTCTGTCCAGCATACACCAACCATTAATTGTGTGGAATTTTTGAACAAACTTGGTGGGTTTGCTTTGAAAACTGCTCTAGTGGTGTGAAAACAACATGCTTGTTTTAGTGTATTCTTTTGTTCACTGCCGGACTTCAAGAGGCAGAGGTATTGTTCAGCCTTACGCTAATTTGGTTTTCAGTGCTGACTGAGCTGTAACTCAGCAAGCTTGTTTGTTGCCAACCAAATGGCTTCAGGTACTGTCATGGCAGGACTAGGATGCTGAAGAGAACAGCGTAGGACTTGGTGGAAAATAAAATAACACTACATGTTATCCCTGATGATGTCTATATTAAGTTCCTTCTGAAGGTAAAACATGTATTAATCAAGGGGGGGCATGATTCATGTACATGCAAGACATGAAGGTAATTTTTGTGTATAAATCTAAGGATATATTTCATTACACTAAACAGAGATGTGAGAGTTTGGTGGGTTGTTTTTAACCTAAATATTTCTTTTTAGACCATGAGAGCTGTGTTTTATTTTTACACACTGCCTTTGAGAATCCTCTCTTGTTAGAAGATGTAATATTGCTGTGAACAGCATGGAAAAGGAGTGATCCCTTTTTTTTTCCAGCATGGAAACTGAGTAAGCCTTTTTCATTTTTCTTTTTAGCTTTTTTTTTTTTTTTTTTTTTTTTAGGATTGAATACTGTTAACATTGTAGGACTGATTGGTTGGGAGGAGTTGTTTCATCATTAGCTAAGGAAAAATGGAAAGAAGGAAGAGCAGTGCACACTACTGAAGTTTTTGGGGAGGTCTGTTTTGTACAGCAGGAGGCACTAAGGTGATGCTGCCAGCTACCATCAGACACAATAAGGGGACAGGACAGCATGCATGTCTGTCTGCTTCTTTCAGGCTCTCATCCTTATCTCTGGCTTTAGGGGATCAGAAGTCATTTGGATCTGAAGCAGGAGCAGAAGGAAAGCTAGAATTCATCAGGAGGATTCCTCAGCCTTTTGTGTGAACAAGCTGCAGGGTCTGACGTGGTAAGAAAAGATGCTCCAAAAGAGATACCCCTCTGCAGAGCCCTTCCCCTAGGACTGGCTCTCTTATGGCTTTCTTTTCATCCAGTATGCATGCAAGTTGCTTGCTTTGCAAAAAAAAAAAAGGGGGTTTTTTTGTGTCCTCACTGTGATATAAAATGGAAATGTTTTTTTTTTCTTCTTCTTTTTTTCCCCACAGAATAGGAGGCATTGCTTGGTCTCACGCTGTTCCCAGTTAGCAATTTGAATTTATTCTGCCTTCTAAAACTTTGGTGAATTGTGAAATGATGATTAAGTGAAAAACTGCTTGGCTTTTAAAGACACTTTTTATTAATTACCACTGAAGCTTTGTAGAGTGCATCTTTGCTATAGATACAGCAGTTCTTGCTCCTTACTTTTAAGCTTACAGCACGTTCCTTGTGATTACAGAAATATTTGTCAAGCAGTGAAAAAAGAAAAGACAAAGGCTGACATACTGGACACTTACACAGTATGAAGGAAAAGGAAAGAAAATTCTTTTGCCAGGAAATGGGTCTGGTGATTGATAGAGCATTAAGCACACTCTCCCTGTTTATGTGCATGAAGTACAGTACTTAAAATTTAAAATCTCTCTTAGATAATTTACAGCAGGACAAGGCACCTGAAGTACTTATATTACACTTGGACAATTTAATAACTATGAAAATATATAGTTAAATTTTGTTTGTTGATATTAGGTGAAGACATCTTAATGCTGTCTCAGGAATTAGGAACGTGATTATTGTTATATAACAACAATAACTCAGTGTCATATATTTAACTTTTGTTAACCTTTGGAAGCTGCGTAATGAACTCAGACCAACAGTCATGATTTCTTTTGAAAAGGCTGACAACGTTGCCTACAAAGCAGTTGTTTTATGGTCACTTTAATTTATTATGTATTTCCTGGGTAAGGACTGCTTTATGCCAATAGCGTCTTCCTTAAAGGTCATGCTCTGAGATTATTTTTCTTTCTGACATTTGTCCACATCCAGCACATATGGAAAAATTAAATTTGCAGATGTTGGTATGATAATATTTCTAAAATAGATCAAAACTAATTTGCCTAGAAATATTATCGAGGAACTGTTGTAAATGTCAGTCTGGTAGTGAAATTAACAGTTATTCTTTTATTGAGCATGCTGTTCTGCTCAAGTTACCCTCCTAGCAGTTGTCGAAGTATTAAACCTGTCTGAAAACTGTCTTTGCTATTTATTATTGAAGGTGTTTACACTCATGGGAAGTTCCCAGGTTGACCACAGTGTTCAGTTTGAGATACCCGCTAAATTACCTGGAGCATTTGTACGAAGCTTCCTGTCCTGTCTTCTTCAGTTGTGTGAAGGATTTGGTGAGACCTAGATGTTAGATTATTTCAGCCTGACTGCTCAAGAGAGGAAATGTTGACAGTGCTGAAACAAGTGGAAGAATTCTCTGTGATTTCACCGTGTTTAAATCAGAGTGCAAATGATGCAACTATCCACTGTCACTACTGATGTAGTCCTGGGCTCTCTGTTCCAAGGCCAGGTTGGATAGGGCCCTGGACAGCCTGATCTAGTGCCTGAACTAATGGTTGGCAATCCTGCCCATGGCAAAGGTTTGGAACTAGATTATTTCTGTGGTCCCTTCCAAACAAAGCCATTCTGTGATTCTATGATTCCATGAGTCTATGATTCTGTAATTGCAATGTCTTGTAGATATCTTTCTGATAAGAACTGGATTGCTATTACTGAAGGGATGTAACACAATTTTTTTTTGCTTATTTTTACTTGAGTTTCTGGAATAACGAGATAGTAATCAACATAATGACTCTGGGTTTGCGCAGGCTAATGGCTGATCGAGTGCTTGTGATCGGCAGTGGAGGCAGAGAGCATGCATTGGCCTGGAAGCTGGCCCAGTCCCCACATGTAAAACAAGTGTTTGTTGCTCCTGGAAACGCAGGGACAGCCAACAGTGGAAAAATTTCAAATTCAGGTAAAAAGAGGGGAAAAAGTCAGATACTGTGGCAAGCAGTTCACAGTATGGATGTGGGAATTGAAACGGAACTGACCACATTTGTATTCAGTCAGTAGAATACAACGGTTCTTTTCTGTTAGCGGCACTACAAGTTATTTAAGTCACGCCTTTTTTCCAGTATGTTTTGTTTCTGTATATTAGAACTGTCTAATAAAACATCATATTGTATCTATTTTTATCCTAACTTCTTAAGATAGTGAGGATTATATGAGACTGTGTATTTCTATACCTCATCTCTTTCCTCCTATTGTTTGCTATGCTTGACAAATTTCATTCCAGCTTAATAGTGGAAGAGAAGACTCAAAGATACTATCTTCTTGTTGGCAAATACTTCAGTGTCTGCCTAGGCTGCTCAGCTAAATGTAGTTAACTCATTCACTAACACTGATTAAATCTTAGCTCAGATCTTAAGCCTGAGTTTTCTTATGAACTTAAGGTTTCATTTTTAAAGTTTTTAGTCTGCTATGATTAGTAACTTCAAAAAGTTTGTACTGATTATATATATGAAATGGAAGGCAGGTAATAAGATAGTAAATGTATAATAAAGAGAGCAGTGTAAACTGGAAGTGTTTTAATAACTCTGTTATTATTGTATTATGTTTCATTTTGCCCTTCATGGGCTGCTAACTCAGTTTTTTAATCATACTTTTAAGGGAGATTGAACACTGAATCTCCTATCTTCCCTTTCTTATTTAGGCTTTGTAGCAGTATTTTCTTATATATCCTTTTCCTTTTCAGCCGTTTTAGTGAGCAATCACACTATTGTTACCCAGTTCTGCAAAGATCATAACATTGGACTTGTAGTAGTTGGACAAGAAACTCTTTTGGCAGCTGGTAAGGCTGGAGTAAATTATCTTGACAGTAAAAATCAGCACCTTGAATCTTGCTTTAAAATGATCTCTTTGGGATTTGAAGGCACACACTGACTGGATTAAACTAAAGTGCAAGAAAATTTGGAGCATCTTGTAGATGCGAGTTGCAGCCACCTGAAATTTTTGGCTCAATAGCTGTATGCTGCTTTTTGTATGTTACAAATTGACTGGGGAAATCAAGGACTTGCAGGACTACAAGTCAGTGGTGGTTACAGGTATTCTTGTGTCTTCTGCTGTGTTTTTTGCTATAAAGATTTTCTTGCAATAGTCCCAACATTGCTGCTTTATGTAGCAGTACCAAAACCATTGCTGACATTTATTGTAATGTGATATTTAAGATCTCCGTGTCATAAACAGTGAGCAGAAGTATCCAACAGTCATATAGCCACGAGTTGGTAACTGTGACACTTATGAGTAGTAGGAAACAAGATTATTGGATATTCAGAACCTTGTTTTAAGGATGGATTAGTTGTTTGAAACAATGAGAAGTGTTAGCAGAATGCTGGAATGGCTACGTGGCTTTCATTTTGTCAGAATGTTTCTAGAGAGATGACTTGATTCCTTTGCTATTTTTGATAACTAGGTATTGTTGATGACTTACAAGCAGCTGGAGTAAGATGTTTTGGACCATCAGCAAAAGCAGCTCAGCTAGCATCCAACACCAGTTTTGCCAAAGCTTTTCTGGATCGACATGGGATCCCAACAGCAAGATGGAAAGCTTTTACCAATCCCCAGGAAGCCTGTAGGTTTATTATCAGGTAAATGCTTTGATACAGGAAACACCTTCTTTGTTGGGTTATTTATGTACTTGGCCTTTGCCCATAATAGTTACCTAGAACTGGTGAGTTAGTGTTTTGTTTTCAAATGTTCATCTTTTTAAGTGGTTACTGAATATTGTTGAACCAATTTTATAACCAGAGACAGATGGCGAAGGAGCTGGGCACTTAAACAGATTGATTTTTCTGTTTTTCTGTTGATTTTTGTGTTTTCTGGTCCTCTTCCCTTTAATCATCCTCATCAGGATGGTGCTAGTTAGCCATTTAGAAGAAAAAATGTGGCAGAGAAAAAGGCTGCAGTAAATTTTTGTGTAAGGATAAGAAGGGATAAAAATCATTTCTACGCAGACAGATAACAGCAGCATCTCTATAGTGTGATTTGGGAGGAACTGGCTAAATACTGATAATTTAAAGAATCTTCATTTGTCAGCTGCACAGTATCATGTGAGAGAGAAGTGACTGCAGATCTCTGCAATTGCTTTGATCAGTAATACCTCAGAAGTCATGGGGGATCATATGGGAGAATAACTTTTTGCTGTGGCTATTTTGGTCCTGGGTCGCAGCAGTGGCTGTATTCAGCTACATTGGACTGTGCAGGTGTCACAGACTCTTTGTCATTGCTGTCACATAGTTCATGTGGTATATTCTGGCAGAACTTTTTAACTTTTTTTTTTTTTTTTCCCCTCCAAAAAAAACCAAACCAACTACATTTTTATGGACTTTGTCCAGGCTTGTCCTGTGACAGCATTGTATATATCATGGCCACGTAGAGAAACAAGCCAACTTCTATGTGTGTAACTGTGCCTACGGCTTCAAAAGCCAAACAGTATCACAGTTCTGCTTATTAAGCTGCAGAGAAAAGGAGCTCTGTGTGAGCCTACTTTGGCTGCTTGTAAAAATCTAGAGTTGTGGTTTATCCTAGTATAAATTATAACATGAAAAAGAGGAGTGAGGTGTTTCAGGAAGTGTACTAGTGTGATGAATCAGCTCTTTCAAAGGGCCATTCCGTTTGACCACAGACTGGAGAGAAGTGAATGGATAAAGCTGTAGTTAAAATAAGCTGCGTTGTCTTTTTGTTCTGTTTATTTTTTATTATTTTTTTCTCTTTCCAGATTTTGTTTGTGTTCAAAAGTAAGCAGAACAATTCTGGGGATACAGCGTTAATACCCTAGTTCTAGCATAGCCTTGATACGTAAGACATAAGTCAACCTTAACCTTACAACCCTAGTCAGAATTTCCATGGTGGTTAATAGGTTTCTGTAGTATATTCAAGTGTTATAAGCCTACAAATCACCAATGAATTCATCTTTTCAACCCTGCGACACAAACAAAATAGTAACCCAAATCAGGGAAAAGAGGAAGACACTGCACACAGTATTAATTGACATGTCCAAGTGTATACAGTGAGGTGGTATAGAACCAATAACAGAATTCACGGGTTTCCAATTCACAGTCCTTTATCAATGACTGCAAAAGCCTGTTCGCCTCCATGATAGGATAGACTGGCTACTGGAATGCATTTTTTTGATGTGTTATTCCTTAAACATTTATAAAAAGGGAAGAACATGGGAAGCATTCAGCTTAAAAATGTACCTTTCATGGGATGCAGTAGAGATGCCTGAATCTTTTGCTTTCCTTTTAAAGCACAGACTTTCCTGCTCGAGTGGTACGGGCAAGGGGCCCTGCAGCTAGAAAGGAAGTGACTATTGCAGCCAGCAAAGAGGAAGCCTGCAAAGCTGTCCAAGAGATTATGCAGGTGGTGAAGTCCTTAATTAAATAGTGGGAATGCAGTTCATGTCCTTGACTAAGAACAAGAGGAACCCCAAAATTGCATCTATCAGCTTGCACATTAAGGCTGGAAATTAGCACTGCTGCTACCTAGCTGCATGTATTCGTTAGGTTTGGTGCTTCAATCTGCATGTCTGATGTATTTGATCACTGTGGGACTTTCTCCTTGTTCCTCATCCTTGTGGGTACTGGGGAATTTCTCTTAGGTTGGCTCACAGATGGTGGGCACTCAGCAGGGCTCTGTGGAGTTTGTGGCTGAACTCTCATTCCAGCACTAGGTCCCACGTTACCAAACCTCCAGCTTTTCCATTTCCCTTTTGCTCCTGGTGCCTGACAGTGTCTCTTCCTTATCTCTGAATGAGATTCTAGAAGTTTTGCCCAGCATCCCAGGATTCAGACAAGCTGCAGCTTTCCATATCCATTGTCTTTTCCGATGAAAGAAAATAAATAGAGGACTTAGTCATTAGATGCTATGTTTATTGACTGATGACTTTTTTGTGTGTGCAGGACAGAATGTTTGGAGAGATCGTTGTCATTGAAGAACTTCTTCAAGGGGAAGAACTTTCTGTATGTGATCAATTTCTTAGTTATGTGCTTTTATTCCTTGGCATTATTGCTGTGTTTTGTGCATAACCACTCGTTTATTGTTTCAAATAGTTTTGTATGTTTGTTTTATTTGACAAATAAATAAATACGCAAGCTAAGCAATTTGATGTCATACTAGCCAATTATGATGTCAGCAGAATTTTTCCTACATTATGGTGCAATTATGGTGATCTTTTTATGTGGAAATTTATCTTTTTTTTTCCCCTATGGTCACCTAAAACATTTTTATATAGACCTTGTCTTGGTAATTCTTGTTACATCATTAATTTTGTGCTAACACTTAGTGCCCATTTTAGCACTTCTACTGGGGGTTATTATTATTCAATGGCAAGATAAAACTTAATAATATGTGTGTTATCTGCTATGTGACAACTGAAAAAAAAATATTTGTGAAAAGTTTGTTTTGCATTGAGAATACCTCACACTCATTCAGGCCTTGGATTTGCAAGCAAAGATGTTAAACTTCGAACATACAAGTAATTCCATTAAGCCTTACAGTAAGCACATATCCAGTTATTCATGGATAGTTCAAGATCTGGTTCATCAGAAAGTCATTCTTATGAGGGCCATCATTTATCTTCATCATTTAAAAATAAGAAAGTTCATTGAATTCTTAGTGTCATCAGCCTTGCAGCACAATGAATGGATCCCATGACTTTTTAGCTTGGATTCCTGACTTTTCCTGACAGATTCCTAAATCAACTTCAGCCTGTGACCAGTAGTGTTAACTTCCCATGGCACAGGATGTTGTCACTGTTCCTGTGTCTTGTGCCTCTCTTAACAGTGCCTGTGTTTCACGGATGGTGTCACTGTTGCCTCAATGCCCCTAGCCCAGGCCCACAAGCGGTTGTTGGATGGTGACCAGGGTCCAAATACTGAAGGAATGGGAGCCTACTGCCCGGTTCCTCAGGTACAACAGTCTTCCTTGGCCTGCAGTAAAGCTGATCACACCTCTGGTTAATGCATCTTTAAGGCTCAACCTTGTTACTATCACATAGGCTGAATTTCTTGTGGAGTTGATTGATACTGTGCTTGCGTAAGAGCAACACAGGGCTCAGGCTTTATCAGTCCATCTGTAGGATTTCTTTCGCCTGTGCTCTGAAGAATAGTCTCTTTTATCTTTCCCATTATTCCTAAACTCGGTGTTTTCCTTCTCTATAAACTTGGAGTTTATCTTTTCCTTCTTTCCAAACTTGGTATTTACCTTTTACAGGAAGCACCTGGATGAGGAGCTACGAGATATGGTTTAGTTTGTGGTAGCAATGGTATTGAGAAGATGGTTGGATTAGATGATCTTATAAGTCATTTCCAACCTTGTGATTCTATGATTTTATGATTACTTCTAAGCTTTGTCTTGTTTTGCTCCTATTAACATCATTTGAAATGTTCCAGCAAAATTTCCACGTGCCTGAAGTCTTTGTCTTGAACATAATCTTGCATTTATTGTTAATAGTGTATGCTGCTCAAGTACGTTATTGGTGTGTTTTTTACAAGTACAGAAACAATCTTACTGTGTATAGCCTAGGTTTTCAGTGTCTCAAACCTCCTTAAAGTTGGCCCTGTAAAGAAAGAAGGAGACAGAAAAAATTGTGAGAGATAGAGCATCAGTATATCTGTCCTTCAGGGCAGTAACACCGTAATGTGAGGAGCATTACTAGGTGGGAGTGGCAGTTGAGGCATTCACTTACCCCAGTCCTTTCAGGACCAAGAGTCGGTTCAGCAAATGTCATTAGTGTTTGATGTTGATCATCAGGTACCAGAAGTTCTAGAGAAAATCAGTGATGCTATCCTTCAACATGTGATTGACAGTCTGAGACAAGAAGGAGCAGCATATGTAGGTAAGTATGCATTCAACTGAAAATGAAGGTAAAGTTCTATCAAGATTAATTTCATTGTTTGGGATTGCTTTTGAATTTTAAATGATCTTTATTAAAAAAAAAAAAAAAAACAGTAAAAAAGGTTCACTTTTCGTGGAGTATTAAGCCTTACTGATTTGGTTTATAGCTCTTCCTTTGGAGAGAACTTTCCTCTTCAGATGGCATTTCAGGAGATGTATTGTGCCTCATTTTTTATTTTTTATTTATTGATTTATTTTGTGCAGTACAGGCTAACAGATGCATTTCTTACTAGTTATAACAAACAAAAACTTCAGCCAGAATGTGGGAAACTTCTGAACTATGTGGGCCGTTGCATCTGATTTTTACAACTGTAACATTTCAACTTCACTAGGTTGAAAATACTCAATCTGAATAATGTTGGACTATAGAACATACCCTATTTTTATGAAATCAGAACATTTCATAACAGTTGCAAGCAGATTCTTTGTAAATTGAGGTATAATCAGTCATACTGTTCACTTCTGTGTACAGCAATTTAAGTTTTCTTAAGATCTTTGTCTTGAGAACTTTTGGAAAAGGAAAGGGGATGCTCACTGCTGTCACTGTAGGCCAACAGCTGCTCTAGGTAACAACAGCCAAGATTACATACAAGAAAATAACTTTTTTCTACTCTTGAGAGATGCAATGTGTTCTCAGCTATTTGGTAACTTTTTTTTATCATGCTCAGTAAGATTTTACAGTGCTGCGGTAAGAAATGAATGTGAGTTGAGCATTTTCAGGATGATGCTGGGGGACCTGATGCTTTGTGGGGATTAATATTTAACACTTGTTACTCTCTGGGCATGACACAATGAAAGGCCCACTCCAGATTGCTGTATGCACATGTGTGTAGCAGTAGAAATAACAGAATACCAACTTCAGAAAACGTTTGTTTCTGTCTATTAGTAATGGTCACAAGTTTTGGTTTGTTTATTTTGCCTGAAATGCAGAGTAACATTTATATTTATGGATAACAGTACTACACTCAAGAAAATTGCAAGATCTGCATCACAGTGTTTTATGGAAATTGTTTCGTTATGGAGTTTCTGTTGTTTTTTCCTTTTTCATCCTATCTATTCCATTGGATCTTTGGATACCTACAATTAGAGGGCTGTAGCAGAAGGTTGCTTTCCATTGTATTCAGTCTAAAATGAGATGCAATATTTGTCATGTTGCTGCAAGCCACTTCAGTGGTTACTGTAGAACTATTACAACTTGTGTACAACTGCTTGCTGAATCCCTGCTTCTAATTTCTTAGAGTTCACAGAAACGCTTCCCTCATTCCAAAGCTTCAGGTTGCATTTTAAAAAGTTGTTGAAAAATAAACATCTAACTTCATTTTCCTGATTGTGTTCTTTCTTCTCAGGTGTGCTGCAGATGGGGTTAATGCTTACCAAAGATGGTGTGAAAATTTTAAACTTTAAATGTCAGTTTGGTGACCCCCAGTGCCAGGTGAGTGACAGACACTGAGAACTTACATGTGCTTCCTTCTTTAACTCTGACTGTTACATCACACGCCTTGGGAAATTTGCACAGTATATTTGGATTTCTGTCTTTCTTCCCCTCGATGTCCAGATCTGAATGAGAATTGTCTTAGACAGTGCATGAAGTAACTTAAAATTTTAGCTGGTAAGCTTCTGTGAATTATTAGTTAAGGAATTTAAGTTAAAGAGCTCCTCCTTCCATTTTATTCTTCTGGATATAAACATACTAGGAGGGGCATGAATTCATGGCTCTTCATAATCTCTTGTTACGAATTTCTGCTGTTTCAAAAAGGTGCTGCAAATTAGTGTTCATTACTGCTTTCCATTCTACAGATACAGGGAAATACAGTATTTTCAGTTTGTCAGGTACAGATTTTACTCAGTTACTTGAATTTTCCCTACATTCATTTTCAGTAAGTCAGCAAAAGAAGAATTAACTTCTATCACTACGAAAATTTTATGCAGGTAATTCTTCCACTGCTTAAAAATGATTTTTATGAAGTGATTCAAGCAGCAATTGATGGCAAACTCTGCAGCTTCATGCCAGCCTGGTCAGAAAACAGTACAGCTGTGTGTGTGGTCATGGCAAGTCTGGGATACCCAGGAGACTATGACAAAGGCATGGAAGTAACAGGTAACTTGAGCAGATTATTTACTATTTTCTCTAGCCCGGTACTTGGGAAGGCTTGCATTTACCTCTTCTTGCAGAATGTTGTCCTGCTTTCCTCCATCCCACTCCTCATCTCTTCAGAATCTACCTTCATCCGTCACTGCTTGTCCGTGTAGAAGAAATAACTGATCAGTAGGATTGTTTATCTGGAAAGCTTGCCTGTCCAAAGTGGCATAGGGCCTAAATGTTTAACAATGTGCCTTTCTTTAAAGTCTGTAACTGGTTGAGATAAGGTGATAGAGGGCTATAACCTCCTGGAAGGAGTATTTCCACAAACTGCGTTGGAAATGGGGACCACAGCATTATCTGGTCATGACTGCTTTGTGCTAGCTTTTGCTTTTGCCAGAGTCGCATTATGTTAGGTAGTGTGGAGATCTGAGGACCTTTACAACAGGAGGGGTTCATTCCTCCACTGTTAATTTGTTTCCTTGCTTTGTGCCAGCCAGTCTGGGTCATTGCAGTGTAACACATAAAAGCCCCTCTTTTTCATGGAGGTTGTAGGGTTTTTGGAAAGGTGGGCATGTGGGCTTTTAGATCAATACACATTTTCTTTGTTAACTTAATCATGTTTCAATGTTACCTTAAGATTATTTTTTTTTTTAATGAAAAAAAAAAAAAAAAAGAAAACAGAGGGAATTGTTGCAGAACTATTTCCTTCCCCCTTTGCTTCTACTTTGCCAGGCCAACACAGAGAGCTGATCTTGTATCAAGGACATTTCTTTTTCAGAACTCCTGTTATCCTACATCAGCCACGCAGGACGTTGTGTTATCTTGTTTTTTCTCTTTTCAAGATTTCTGCTGCCATGCTGTCATTGCTCACCCTCTCATTCCAGTTCAGCCATTACATTAACTTTGTTTTATGAGCAATGTTCTGGAAAACTCTGCATTTCTGTAAGTGTGAAAATGCAAACCATATAACTGAACAAATCCCCCTGCTAGGTGAGTTTTCTTTCAGTAGTCAGGCTCTGGAACTCACATTGAATCTTGCATTTTAATAGCTTAACAAACACTTTATTCCTTAGGACACAAGGACAGGGCACTACGTTTCCATTGTGGCAAAGCCAGCTTGGGCTCAGCTTGCCCCACAGCACTGTGGTGGTGCAACAGAATTCCAGCAAGTTTAAAGGTTACTTTTACTCACTTATAAAATCCCTCTAGGCAAAAGGAAAAGTATGTTTTGCTTTGCTTTCTCCAGGTGATGGCAGCAGTTCCTCCTCTTCCCTTATTCTCTCCTCAAAATACTATCTTCCAAAAAATCCTCTAGCAGGAAAATACACAGAAACAAAATAACAAAATGCAAACCTGCAGATATTTATAAAGCATGGATTGCAAATGTGGCAGGGTATTGTGTAAAGTGGTCATAACAGTGTGGATGGGGCAGTGCCATTAACATTAATAATTTAATATCAGGGGGAGTCCAAGTAATAAATTGCTATGAATTGTGGAATGGTTTCATCTGGAAAACTGTGCAGAAATTATTCCCAGTTACAGTACAGCTTTTCCCTGGCACAGCATAGCTGTATGTCCTGCACTGGTATCTAGATCCCCTTTTTTTGTTCCTGTGTGATCTGTGTCCTTACCAGCTCTCTGAAAAGGGAATCTTTGGGCCAATGGAGAGTGATGCCCATCACTGGTGATGCTGTTTCTCATAAGAAAGGTAAAGTGGGAAGCCTTGTTGTTCTTCTCCCTTGACTGAAGAAAGGACTTCAATCTTCGCTGCTTTACCAACATAGTATCTGATTATTTTCAGTGTTCCTTTTGCTTTTGTAGGGCTGCTTCCAGCCAAAGAGTTAGGGCTGCAGGTGTTCCACGCTGGCACAACAGTGAAGGATGGCAGAGTGGTTACAAGTGGTGGCAGAGTCCTCTCCGTTACTGCTGTTAAGGAGGATCTGATGACAGCACTGGGAGAAGCCAACAGGGGAGTAGCAGCCATATGTTTCAAGGGTGCCACATACAGGAGGGACATTGGCCATCGGGGCATTCGACTTCTCAAACAGTCTCTGTATGTAAGCAAAGGCACTAGTAGAAGTTGATGCTAGCCCAAAGTTATATCTGTTGTTACCCTTTGTACGATGAACGATGATGATCTATGCAGAAAACGTAGCTATTGCTGCTAGCATGTCCTTTTCTTCCCTGCAGGGGTTTGATATACAAAGAGAGATGTGTGGAAGCTGTAACCAGTGATGTTTTGTTTTACCAGCTGAAAAGATCAATTGTAAGTCGTACCAGATCAGGTAAGATTAGGAAAAAGAATATTTGAATTTCCTCAGTCTAGCAAATGACACCAGAACTTTTTTTTCCCCAAGAGTTGAGTAGACAGTCTCTTGGCACTGAAACTGAGTTTGAGATATTGGGCTGGTGTCACCATGAAAAATGAAAACTCATTTCTTTCTCATTCCTCCTTATGTCTTACTTAAAAGATAGTTGGCTTATCATGAGAATGATTGCACTTCTTCAAGGGTAGCTTAGTGAACAGAATAACTCCTGGATTCATTGAATGATTTTGGATAGAAGTCATCCTACCAGCTGTATGTATGAGCACAAAACCCAAACAATTTTTAGGATGTGGCAGACAGTTACTGAACTTGTTGTTTGCCCTTCAGAACGCTGTTTGCCTCTTTACTCTCAGTAGTGATCTGTTGAGGAAAATTTCTTCTTTTTTTTTAGCCCTTAGAAAAAGAGAAGGAAAAAAAAAAGAAAAAGAGCTGTTAAAATTAAACAGCACCATGAAATATATGACTTTAGGGTCCAAGCTTCATAAAGCTATCTATGATTTGCCTGTTTTGTCTTGTCCAAGAAATCATAATCTGCAGTACTTGCTTGGTGCATGCTTTAGGTCTTTTTATTTCCCTTAAAAACAATCCTTTACACATTTGTATTTGGCAGGCAGTCATTCAGAAGTAAGAGGCTTTGCTGGTTTCTTTGATTTAAAAGCATCTGGTTATGATGATCCTATCCTGGTATCTCAAACGAAAGGCCTTGGACCTAAACTTCAGGTAATCTGCAACTTGACTGTAGCAAAACTCATGTTATCTCCCAAGACTGTTTTGAGTGCCACAGCCAGTTGCACCCTTCTGAGCATTACAGATATATCCCAAATTCACTGCAGTAGTCAATTGAGCTTTATAGATGACCACTTGAGCAAAGTGTGCACATGTGCCATTGAGAATGTGGAGATTTGGGATATTTTGTGATGATAATAAAATGTTTAGTCATGCACTTGAGGAACTAAGAATTAGAATTTCTACTGGGAAATCCATTGGCTTTGAGAAGGATCAGTTCAGAGAGAAACTGGTACAGAAAAGTGCTGAAATTATTACTGTCAGTCTGGGTTTAATAAATTGTATGCAGAGGTAGCATGATTACTCCTGTCAGGCCACTGGGTGAAAAAAGGATTTATATATTTTTTAAATTCAGTAGAAGCCTTCTTGAGGTTTGATAACATTTTACTCTATAGAAGAGCTGCTTATCAAGGAAGTTATAAACCAGGCCTGTGTTCTCCATGTAATGAGGTAGCTGGACCAAAAGACTCCTTGTGGATGGTGGGAGTGGAGAATCTCATTCCTTGACAACTTGCAGATGAACGAAACACTGTTTAACGAAATTGCTTCCATTTTGTTGTGTAGCCCAGGGAAATCAGTGGGCATTGCAGAACAGACAGTAATGTTTAAGCAACCTAGTATTATTTATGGAAATTGCTAAGGTGTTCTGTAGGTTGGATGTCCCAAGAATTCGTAATTGACTTCAGGTACCTCTTATGCCCTATTTGACATAGTATTTTAAAATAAACAAACAAACAATCCCAAATAACAATTTATGATTAGCAGTAGTTAGAATTTGAAAGAATGCTTTTAAAATATATATTTATTTTCTCTTGAAGAAAATTATCTGATTTCTCTTAATTTAAACTAGATTATCTACTAGATATCTTCCACCTGTATCTTCTGTTGTGATGTTTATCAAGGAAATGAAGATTTCTGCTTATTTGATTACCATTTGAGTTTTCTGTATCTCCCGTCAGCACTGCTGGTTCCTACCATGTTTTGCAGATCGCACAAGCGTGTAAGAGACATGACACCATAGGACAGGACCTGGTTGCCTTGTGTGTTAATGACATCCTGGCTCAAGGGGCAGAGCCCCTCTTCTTTCTTACCTATTTTTCCTGTGGCAAACTTGATGTCAAAGTGACTGAAGCAATCAAAGAAGGAATAGCTGACGCATGCAGAAATGCAGGATGTGCTTTCCTAGGTATGAACACACCTCTTCTTTGGTATTTGAAGATTCTGATGCTAAAATGATGATTAGTGAATAGAGTTTATAGGCAGCTCTATTATATAGCATTAGAACATTTGGTTTCTTTTTCGGGGGGCACAAAAAATCTTCTTGATAAAAAAATCAAGAAGGGGCACAAAATCTTCTTGATATGAAACAAGTCAGCATGGAAGCATGATTTTTGCTTTTTGGATCCCGGGTCTCATCTATTCTTGTACAAAGAAAAAAATTGCCCATGCCTTACACTCTTGAGGTGCAAATGTTTCCATTCCCGCTCTGATGTTCCTCCTAGCAGAGAAGTGTCAGGTAAGTAGTGCAAAACGCAAAAAAACACCTTTCTTCTTTCATTAACTTAATGAAGCTTTGTTTTGTTGAAGCTATGAGGTAAGAAACAATGAACTTTTAAAAAGTGTCTGAATATGCTGTTTAGGCTGTATGTCTCTACAGCTGTCCTGGATATGTTACCTATTTTAAGAGATGCTATGGATTTAAAGTGAATAGTGCTGACTGCTCGTGCTGACTGCTTTTTATCCCCCATTTAGGCAGGGAGATTGCTGAGGTGACTAGCATGTATTCTTCTGGAGAGTATGACTTGGCTGGCTTTGTGGTTGGTGCAGTGGAGCGAGGACAGATGCTTTTGGGTCTGCAGAGAGCTGATGAGGAGGATGTGCTTATTGGACTGGCCTCTTCTGGGATTCACGGCCGAGCCTTTTCCATCATAAGGAAGATACTCTTAATGTCCTCCCTGCACTACTCCTCTCCAGCGCCTGGCAGTTGTGGTGACAAGACTCTAGGTAAAATATCTTCCTTCTCTGAAGCAAGCCTCCAAATGGATCGTGCATAGACATTTTCATAACTAGGTGCTGCCAAGGGTTGTTTATTAAAACATGTTTATTAGTGTTAGTCAGTCTTTGGAATAGGTAGGTCTTGCTTTGTTAGTTTTGGAGGAGTGGAGCAGCACTGTTTGCTACTTTACAAATCTGTCTGCCAGAAAGATCAAGGAGAACCCATTCAAAGAATCATTCCCATCAAAACACCTAATACATTTTTTTAAAAAACTCTCTGAATTGACACTTTTGTTTGCAGGAGATGTATTGCTGACTCCAGCAAAACTGTACAGTCCATCTTTGGTGCCTGTTCTTCGCTCAGGGCATGTGAAGTCTTTTGTCTTTATTGCTGAGGAAGGGTTGCTGGAAGGCATCTCTCGAATCCTGCCAGAACATGTCAGCGCTGTCCTGGGTAAATATCAAATATGGCTCTTTCTATTTGACAAAATTTATATTCCTACTCATTGTTTCTTTCAAAGACAAGAAAGGAAGCTGCTCAAGTAATCCAAAAAAGTCAGAAGTTGTTTTGTCATGTGGCTCCTTTATCTCTCATAGAAGAGGCGTAAGTCATCTGTAACTTTATCCTTATGGCTCATTGAGGATGAGCATGTTTCAATTTGCCATTTCCTATATGTTCTCAGAAAGCCTTGAAAGGCCTTGTCTTGCTCAAATTATATCTAGAAACATCTTACATAAGCAGCACCCATAAGTTGACTGGAAGTTGGATCAGTGTCCTCTTCAGGAAATATTCTTAAAATACCAAGAATTCACATGTATCAGCTCTTGTAATATACATTACTGTATATAATTGCAGGTGGGTAGTGCACGTATGCTGATCAAGTATGTTTTTCCTATCTTTTCTTCAGATGCCCTTACCTGGAAGATGCCTGAGATCTTCTGCTGGCTCTATAAGGAAGGAAACCTCTCTGAGAAGGAGATGGCCCAGACATTTAATTGTGGGATTGGTGCAGTCTTGGTTGTGCAGAAGGAGTTGGCCCAGCACGTTCTCAGGGATGTACAGAGACATGAGGAAGCTTGGCTGATTGGAAAAGTTGTTGCCCCTTGTCACACAGGTAAGCAGATGTCCTGATGGGATATAAAGACACAAAAATCAAATAGTATGGTGGGACTGCATTCACCTCTCCTTCTTCAGAGGGGTTTCCATTTAAGGGCACACTATTTACTTCTAACTTGATGCAGAATAAGTTGCTGTAGCGTGATTCTGTGAAGTGCTGAGCATCTCCTGGAAGGTACCCATTGTCCTTAGTTCTGTAGGAACTGTTCTGTTGCAAATTGTCTGTAGTTCACATTTTTCTCTTGTTATGTCACTAGGCTTAAGGCTACTTGATGCTTTCGCATCTACATTTCATTATTAAATACCATGAGGAGGCTTGCTGAATGACATTACTTGAACAGTTTCTTACCTGATGACTGTCTGTAAGGACTCTTAACATTATTTAGTCTGTTATATTCTAGAACAATTACAGTAATCAACATACTTCCTTTCCAACCCTTTTCCAACTCACATGGATCCCATGTAAAGACAGAGGATAGGTCACATGTGTATACAGTCACAGGTGACAATAATAAGTCTTCATTCTGGTATATATCCAGTGATTATGTACAGCAAGACATGAGCTGGAATTCTTCTGGTTTCTGAACAGTGTGGGGAGCAGTTTTGGCAGTCAAAATAAAGTGTCAGCACTGTCACCACCATTGTTAGTTTCATTTTGTAACATGAGAGAAAAGGAGAAGTGTAAAAGATGGGGATAATCCTTGAAAGTACTATGCCATATCTAGCCCTTTGCAGCCCAATGGGTAGAATGAACGCACAACAGTGCGATTTATTTAATTAGTATCCATTTTTGTAGTTCAGTTGGTGCTAGCATAAATTTATTGCTGATAGGTTTTCTATTAACTGAAATTTATGATTAGTGAACTATGTGAAGTAATTTTAGAAGGGAAAGTAAGATCAAAAATGTTTTATTTTTAATGTTTTCCGCACATATTTGGAGGAGGTTCTCACATCAAAGTTGAGAATCTTCTTGAAGCTCTACAGCTGAGCAGCCCCCAGCATCTGCTGAATAACACTGTTGTAGAGAGTCAACAACAACCCAGAAAGAACAAAGTTAAAGTAGCTGTTCTCGTCTCTGGAACAGGTGAGATTTTGTTTATCATGGCACAGAGAAATGTTCATACAAAAGGAGGTGAATTTAACCCTGGTATAAATGCATCTACCTTGACTTTTTTTGGCAGTCTATGGAGTCTTCTGAAAACAGGCTATATTTTAACTGGCATTCAATAATGTGTTTTTTTGTACTGCTTAACAAATGAGATTTATTAGTGCATAAATTGCTTTGTCCTCTTCCATTTGTGCATTTGTTGCAACTAGAATTTTTTTTAGATAAACAAAACTGAGAGTCCCTTCTCAGTAACACAGATGCTTATCCGTTTCATGAATGTTTGCTCTCTTTCCACTTGAGGCACAAATCTTGCTGCTCTCATCAATTACGCAAAAGAACCAGGCAGCTGTGCTCAAGTTGTCCTTGTCATCTCCAGCAAGTCTGGTGTGGAAGAACTACGAAATGCAGCCCGTGCTGGAATTCCCACCAGGGTAAAGGCACCTATTTCCTTTCCTCTATACCACCACCTCACACCTATTGAATCTGTAGGCCTTTAATGTAAAGCTTGGTAAAAATTAGTGTTTCACATTAGTTTCAACCTTTTATGTAGATAAGCGAGTGTAGCACAAATCTATTGAAGTCATCAGCAGGGACAAAGCTGGAGGTTCTGTCGACCTTACACAGTGGACATCGTACACCAGCCTCAGTGGAGGCTGTGAGCATGTTTCTTGTCTCTTCAATGGGTACTTCAGTCCGGGTTATGAAGAGACTTAAAATAAGCATGTGCCTGCACTTGAAGGTGTGCTTTAATCTCAGAGAAATTAGTGTGCTTACATTCTACTCTTGCAAGTGCTTTGATGATTTAGATCTAAAACTGTAGCCCAAGCAGCTTACAGCTGTAACAGAATCAGCAAGACTTCAGGCTCTGTGAAAAATATAAGCATGTTGTCTCATTGGCTCATCCTTTCTTAGAAAGCCTCATGCGCACAGTCAGTTTCAGTGGCACTATCTAAGAATCTCCTGCTTTTGGTCAGTAAAGTAGTACTGTGTTGTGGAAATTTTCACTGGTTTGTTTCATAAAACAAAGACACAGAAAGACAATAACATCATGTCATCATATTTTGTGGAGTTTCTTCACCCAGGTGACAGTGAGAGGCTGAGAGGTAATGACCTCAAATTGTGCCAGGTGAGGTTCAGGTTGGATGTTAGCAACAATTTTGTCTCAGCACGAGCAGTGCTGCAGTGGCACAGGCTGCCCAGGGAGGTGGTGCAGTCACCGTCCCTGAGGTGTTCAGGAGCCGTGTGGATGTGGCACTGAGGGACGTGGGCAGTGGGCGCGGGGGGGATGGGCTGGTGGTTGGACTTGGTCATCTCAGAGGTCTTTTCCAACCTTCATGACTCTATGATTTTGTGATAGTGTAGAAAGTAGCTTTTGAAAACATTGAACAACTTGCAATTTCAAATGCAGCCCACCAGGAATTCTTCTGTCTAGTGTTTGATGATTTGGAGCAGTTATCGTATTTGTACAGCTATGCACAGATGGCATTAAATGCTGTTAGAGGCTCTCCATCCATTAAAAAGTTTTCAACAACTTCCTCAGCAGCTGAATTGGATCCACATTACTTTTTTTTTCTGGCAGTATAAAGACTCTGGCAAGACAAAGGAGAAAAAAATCTACATGGTGTCAAAAATCATTCACATTTTCCTAGGTAAGAGCATGACAGCTCTGTCAGGACCTTATTTGAATGTCTTTGTGAACAGCCAGGTATAGTCAGGAATCAACACGTATTTGGGGACCCGGAGATAAGTGATTGAGTAGAATTAAAACTTCACTCCTCTTCTTACATGGAATTTCTGCTCAGCTTGTTGTCTTCTAGATAAATACATTTCCGTATGCAGCTACAGACTGACTAATGGTGATGTTGATTTTACTTCAGTCTTTGGCCAGACATTCTGGAGATGTCCTCCTTAATTTTGTCTTATCCATGTTGCTCTTTTCACTTGGCTTTTCTTAATACAGATTTTATATGTATATTACAGCATGCTGTGAGAAGCAGCCTGTGTTAACTAGCAAGCGATTGGGATGTTTCCAGGAATGCTTGTATAAATCACAAGTATCCAGAATAATGTGCAAGTTCATACCTCATTAAGTCTTCGAGTGACCTCGAATGAATATGTTTATTTTTTGTTTGTTGCTCAAGAAAATACTCTCATTCACATGAAGTTACTTCTTTGGTATGCTTGCTGATGTGTTTTAATGTTTTAGGTGATTGATCACAAGTTATATGGGAGTCGCTCTGAATTTGACAGCACAATTGACCGAGTTCTTGAAGAATTTGCTGTTGAACTGATATGTCTTTCAGGATTTATGAGAATATTGTCCAGTCCTTTTCTCAGGAAATGGAAGGGTAAGAAATTACAACTCTGTAAAAAAGAAATTAAAATGAGATGCTTGGGCTTACCAGAATTACACAGTCGCAGTTCTTCATCTTTGGTTAAATCTCCCTCAGCCTTGATGACACTGAGGATTGGAATGTAAGTCAGTGGGGCTGCCACATGCTTCCTCCATTCATTCCAGCCATCAGCTCTGACTATGCATTGGCAGTGAAGTGTCCTGTGCTGGCACAATTACTGACAGAGGGACAAAAAGCAACGTCACGGAGTTTGTATATTTTCTTGCTGGGAAGAAGAAATGCCTGTGGAGCAAGCAGAAGTTTTGTTTTCTGTGCAGGTAGTGTAACCATCTTGTTTTCCCAGGAGCTGTGCTGGAGAACCTCTTTTTGCTTTTAAACGTGGAAATATCCCGCTATGTCCTGACTGCTCTGCTGTCTGCTCTTTGAGCTCCTGAGGTGCTGAATGCTGTTTTGAAGTGGTGGTCACGTCTCACTTTTATTTTCAAAGGAAATTCCATTCAGATTGATTTTTCTTTTCTCCTCTCACCCTGATCTCTAGGGAAAATTCTGAATGCTTCCCCATCGCTTTTCCCACCAGTCAAGGTTGGAAATGCGCATCAGCACTCCCTCCCAACTGGATTCAAAGTCACTGGCTGCGCTGTGCATTTTGTCCTGGTGAGTGTCCTCTTTTCTAACAGTGATGAAAAGGAATTTGGTTCTTTTTTTCCCTCCCCTTTCTGAAGGCAGAAGAATGAAAAAGTGGTAAGAATGTATAGAGGTGTTAGGGTTGTTTCCAGTAAAACGCGAAGTTTGCAGGAATTACTTTGCAGAGCTTTTCTCTTTGTGGCCCTGCTCCTTCACCACATTTTGCTTCCCTTGTTTTTGTCTTTTCACTCACTTATCTGTGGTTTCTCAAGGTCCTGCCTTTTTCTTTCATATTACAGAAATTACTTTTTTCCAATTTCCCCTAACCACAGCAAGGTGCCCTCCAAGTCTTCTAGCCCATGTCTATCCCCACTCTACTCAGTACATGTGATGTACACATTCCTAATGGAGGTGGCCCTCTTACGTACTTACAGCCTCTTGCACACAACTGCGGTTGTGCTTACTTGAGGTATCTTGTGAGACTTTCTGTGTCCTGTCTTCATCATAGAATCACAGAAAGTTTTGGGTAGGAAGGGATCTTAAAGCCCACCCAGGCCCAACCTACTGCCATGGGCAGGGCTGCCACCTACCAGCTCAGGCTGCCTAGGCCCCTATCCAACCTGGCCTTGAACATCTTCTATAACCTCACTGACAATGCAAACCAGCCTTTTCTAAGACTTCTTCCAATATCTCTGTTGTAGGAGGAATCTTGTCCAAAAGCAGTAATCCACCAGGAGCCGGTATCTGTGAAGGCAGACGACACTGAGGAGATGCTGTCAGAAAGGGTTAAGGAAGCTGAGTGCCGGGCTTTTCCCATCGCCCTGCATCTAGTGGCCAGTGGGGCAGTGCAACTAGGAGCTGATGGTAAAACCTGCTGGAAACAAGAGAGGCAAAGTCTGCGTCTTCAAGAAGAGAAAAATGACTTCACTTCCTCTCTGGTGATACCAGAGCCACAAGAAAATGATGTGGTGTAGCCAGGTTTTCCTTTCCTTCTTCCTTCCCGCCATGTGCTTCTCTTTGCAGGTGTATTAATGTTTCTGGCTTTCATTCTGAGCCATGATCAGTTTTTCTGGGCTTGCACATTTAGTTACACTTAGTTTTCAAAACTGGCTGTGGGATCCAAACTCATTTCAGATCTTGAATTTCTTTGTTCTGCATCCAGGGATGGGGCATCCACAACTTCTCTGGGCAACCTGTTCCAGCACCTCACCGCCCTCTCAGTAAAAAATTTCCTCCTAACATCTAACCTAAATCTCCCCTCTTTTAATTTAGAGTCATTCCCCCTTGTCCTATCACTATCACTGAGTAAAGTTGGTCTCCCTCCTGAATATAAGCTTCCTTCAAGTACTGGAAGGGCACAGCCAGATCTCCCTGGGGCTTCCTCTAGGTTTATCATGCCCAGTTCTCTCAACCTTTCTTCATAGGAGAAGTGCTCCAGTCCTCTGATCATTTTCTGCTGGAAGAGGGTGTGTGATGGTGTTTCAAGCCACAGAGGAGTCTGTGAGGCCATATAGGAGAGAAGATGCCCTGCTGGTCCCATCCTGTAGAGGCAAAGCCATGCCCACAACTGTCAAACATCTGTGAAGCTGCTGAAGCCTTGCGCTCCCTGAAGCTGTGGCACCACCACCCACTACTGCCAGCTGGGTTTCTCCTGCAAACTCAGTGTGGTCAGTAGCAAGCACCTCCAGCTGCCGCTGCAGATATGCCTTCACTCTGACCCTGGTGAGGATCGGAGGCAGCTAAGAGCCAAGAATAAAGCAGCAACACTGGACATCAGTCATATTTTCAGTGTTTGCACTGGAAATCATCTATATTCATATATTCATTCTGGATTACTGTCACCAGCAGGGCCTTTGTGGGAGGGTAATGCAGAGCACATAGCATTCAGTAATTCAGCCTTCAACATGGTGAACTTTGTCCATCATCAGGAGTTCAAAATTACTGCTGCAGTCCTTTTGATCTGGTGTTGTGCCTTTAAGTAGGCAAAATACATGGAAATTACTTTTGAAATGAAAATCTCTTTGTAGGCCCTTTTAACAAACAGATGTGTAGTGAGCTGCCAAACAGAAGAGCCGATGACCAGCAAGGCAGGAGCTCTTCAGAAGGCAAAACAAAGTGAAATAAACCGCCCTTCACGGATTTTATTGCAGTGTAATAGCACACAGCAAACATAAATCTTAACACTTTGCCCTATTCCGGGAAGGCACTGCACACAGATGTTCTCAGAACTTGGTGTTAAAACCTCTGTATCTGGTGGGGTGGAAAATAGATTAGAAATTGTTAGCAGATTTCAGGGATTTTTTCTTCTTCCATCCATGAAATCAGCAGGACATCCCCAGCCCGACTTGCCAAGTAGCCAGAGCTGACTTTCCTGGGGAGAGATCACTAACAGCCATTAGATGCAGTGATAAAAATAAAAGTAGTTGTTCTGGAATTATGCATCCTGTACTAGTAAGGGACGTGCTGTGTAACTGCTGCTGGCTGTGGTGGGCTGTTTGAGAGCATGAGCCAGCTCCATTCAGAAACTCCTATTTATTTATTCATTTATTTAATTAGTGTGTATTTCAGTGGTGTTTCAGTGGAGGAGGAGGGAGGAGAAAGGGGAATTCCATTTCTTGCTGCACGCTGTGCATTTATGTACAGTAATCTGTATTTGTCTTTTGCACTTCAGCAGCAGGAGCAAGAAGCTCGATGTAGGAGAAATAGGAAGAACTGTAACGAGGAGAAATGAACAAATCTTTATATATATATACAGTATATATATATTTATAGTTAATATTTATGATAAACATGTTGCTTATTTTGCTGAGTTGGCCTGTAGTTACTTCATGTTGTGTATTGTTTGGAATGCATAGTAAGCATGATGGATGATGTTTCAAACCAAACAAATAAATGGTTATAAGATTATAGAATGCAAGGTATTGTGCTCTGTTGTTCTCCCTACTATCACCATCATATCAAACAGCTTTCTCCAGTGGAGTTCATGGCATCCCTCTGAGACTGGGAGTGGTGGCAGTATTTTAATCTGGTAACTCAGGTCCACTTCACTTGGATTTGTAGAAATGCAGATAAGTGCTTAAATCCCATTTCTCATCAGTCTTAGCAGAATACCTCAGTCTTGCTCAAGATGTCTCTGATGAATTGGGATTTTGAATTTGGGGTTGCTACACTGTCTGCTTTTGGCCTTCCTGGCACTGATCAAACTGCTTTTACCAATGTTACAACTGTTATCTGTGCAATTAGTGACAGTGATTTCACCCCTTGCAAAACAAGTAGCACCACTAAGAGTTAGAATTTAAGTACGATATCTTAAAAGCTGTGCTGTGTCATGGCTGATGCACTGAGTTTGTGCAGACTGGATCCCAACCAGAGCAGGATGCTCCCTGCACCTTTACCTTCTCTCTGCAACAGGCAGATTTCAATTTTTCAATCCTGTTTGCCTGTGGGATGACCCTTCTGTGCAAAGGTAGACTCGTACGGATAAATGCCGTGCTGAAGCCTCAGCCTTTATTCTTTGTCTTCTGCAGCCAAATTAGATTTTACCATGTAATTTTCCTCTGTATTCACCTGAGTTTTATCTTCAGTGACAAATGATAACAGGAATATTTTGTCAGCAAGTTTCTTTATCACAGACCATCTGGCCATGGCAACAGTAAGGTCACCACACTCTGGAATTTCACCTCAATCCTTGCACGTCTGTAACCTCTGAAACTGATTTACAGTTGTGGCATGGCAGATGAAGACAGATTCTGCTTCATAAATCCCTTCTTCATTTGATACCCTTGGAAGGGAATTCCAAGGAAAAATACTGATACGTTCAAATCACTAACATTATTAGACTTTTATTTCAAATCCAAATTGAGATTAGGACACAGAAGAGAAACTGGTTTTCTCCGAGAGTAGTTCTAAAGCGTAGACAAGGAGCTGGAAGCGATGCTTCTGGTTTATATGGAAGAAAAATGATACTTCTAGTAAAAAAAAATTAAAACATTTTCACAGCTATACTAAAAATTAAAAAGAAAACTGAGTGCATTTTCACAATAATTCAACTGTGAAAAATACTTTACTGTTTTCATTTATAACATTTCCTGGGTTTGCATCAGCATTATTTTAGGTGAAAATATCATTCCCAGAATACAGGCACTTAACTTCAACAGAAGTTTTAAAGAACGTCTCACAAGCAGAGAATGCATTTTGTATCCAGTCCTAATTCCCTTTCTGTTCAGGCCAAAGCAGGCTCTGCTCTGTTGGCTCTGAACAGATCTCTGAGAGGAATTCACATATGGATCGATGGGGGAATCCCTGAAGGCAAATGGTCAGAAGTTTAATTCTATTTGGTGTCTGACTGAGAGCAGGTTCAATATTTGAAGTCAGTGGATATGGCCAGAATCTGGGCCGCTTTGTGAAGAGAATACAGCCTGTGCGTTTTTCAACTGTGACCTCCGTTTTGACCAATGGATGCACTTCAGCTGCCACATCCAAGGATCTACTTCCAGCAGATCTTGCCGGCTTCGCCCACCTGCACAGCCCCGCTGGCAACGAGCTGCAGGGCAGCAGGGAAAGCCCGATGCTCCGCCTCCTTCACCCGCGCAGACAGGGTCTCCACTGTGTCACCAATCTTCACTGGAACTGCCTCTTGGAAAATGATTGCTCCAGCATCAACCTCCTCCTGTAAAAGCAATAACCAGACAGTTGTGCGGTTGGAAGATGAAGAAGAGGAGCATGGATGCGTAACCATTACTGGAATCCAGCTGCTGCAGAGATTTGTTTGTCATTACTTTATTGCAGGAAACATGAAATGAGGCTAAGGTGAGGATTACAGAGAATATGCTGACACACAGGCCTGTGAGGAACTGCCAGAAGTGTAGGTTGCAAAGAAAAAGGAGAAGTGAGTGACACGTCTGCTCCAGAAAACAAAAGCCATGTTAACTGAGGACGTGACAGACTGGATATTGGGCCTAGCGATGCCATTTCAATTCAGAAAAGTGAATTAGCCAGCTCTGGCATAGAGCTAGACCATAGGACTGGCAGATCTCTCTTTTGCATGTTAACAAGGCAGAGCTCAGCTGCTTGTTTGTGGCTTCTCATTGCCACACAGGGAAGAAGCGGTCACGTTATGGAGAAAGGAATGCAATTCTTCTAACTAGAAAAAGAGAGAAAAACTCTTTTGTTTTCCAAGGGAGAGCCAAAGTCATGAAAACAGATACCAGGAACAGTGGAAAAAAAAGGCTGATAATCTGAAGTATGCAGTTGAAGACTGGAGAAGAGTTACTGTCAACTCTGATAACCAAACAAGATGGAAAAAATCTCCCAGAACTGATACAAAGTACATCTTCCATGCTGAGAGATCTCTGGCATTTGAATCCTCAGTTTTTGACTTTCATCAGAGGGCTGGAGCACTTTTCCTATGGAGACAGCACAGAGAACTGGAGGTGCTCAAGGCCAGGTTGGATGGGGCCCCTGGGCAGCCTGAGCTGGTGGGAGGCAGCCCTGCCCACAGCAGGGGTTGGGGCTGTGTGGGCTTTGAGGCTCCTACCAGCCCGAACCGTTCTATGATTCTAACATTAAGTTTTTCTGTTTCCACAAACACAGGATTACTTCTTAACAAATCTAAAATTCTTGGGCTGCTTCCAATGTTTTTGTTTTGTTTTCATTTTTCTTCTTCTTGAAGGCAACAAATAAGGAAGGCTGTATGATAAAATATAAGAAGTTAGTACTGTTCTCTAACAAAGATTTTAGGGTTAGTCAAGACACAATACAAACTATTACAGCTTCTGCAACAGCTGAACTGGCTGCAGTGAGATACTTAAGGAAGAAGTTAACTAAGGTTAAGTTTTAACTCCTGTATAGACTATTCATTTCCAGTTCCTTTTCCAGGGACAGCAAATTAAAGCACTGTGTTGCCTAATAATGTTATGAATGAATGAAGGAGAAAAGGCAGTCAAGCAGGATACTGTAAGGGATTTCCACACAAGATCCAAGGTGAAAATCTTCAGACCTGTCAGTGATGAGGGGTGGAGGAAGGAAATACTTACAGCCACGAAGTGCACAGTACAGCCTGTTACTCGGACTCCAGCTTCCAGCACCAATTTGTGGGCATTTGCTCCCTTAAAAGAGGGCAGTAGGGATGGGTGGATATTCAATATTTTTCCTAGAAAAGAATAAGTGAGGTCATTGCCTTTTAGCATTCAGACTTAGACTATACTTCCAAGTATATCAATAATCAACAGAGGAACAATACACATCTGCAAAAAAGATTTTTCTACACACTGACCTTTGCACTTATGCTTATTTTTTAATATTACTGCCAGATAACCAACTGAAAGCATTTCAGAATGCGTTGCCATTTCAGAAAATCAAAGACAGCAATCAGTTACAATGAACTCCACAACTAAAGCACAGTTCTCCAGTGACTAATCATCAATATACATATCTTTTTTTCCATTGTTGTCCTTTCTCTCCTCATGTTGTTCTCCCTCTTCTTTCATCACAAGCACAATCCCTTCTTACAAACTCAATACCCCGAAGAAATTTGGTGCAGCTTGAAACTGAACAGACTCCTATGACAAGGCAAAAATTCTTTAGCTCAGACCTCTCCTTCCCATCTGTTTTGGCTTAATGAAAGACAGCAGCTGCTAACAGAGGAGTCCTTCGCTCTGCCCTTCCGAAAAGCACCTGTCTACCACTACTACTGTCCAGGCACAAAATTGGCTAGGAGATCCTGAAATGGATAACATAACCTTCAATGCTCAATCAGGTGGGTCTGTGGTTAGAACCCTGGGAAGCTTGTACCCTAACATTTTCCTTAAATGAGAAAGCATATGCCTTAGCTCCTGCATTGCTGTACAGTGGGAGACAGTACCTATCCGTGCCTTTAAGGTCTCACTTAGAGCAAGTCATCATTAAACCATCAGAATACCTTATTTCTTCTAGCACACTTTCCCTGTCTGCTTTTAATATGTCTGTGACAACTGTCCTGCCAACTCTGGACTACGATGAAATCAAAAGGTGCTAAGCACTGCTGGTTCTTCTCTTAGATTCAGTACAAACCCTTGCAAGATTAAGGAAATGACCATCAGCACTATTTATATCACAGTATGCTATGCCCACGCTATCTCCACATGCCTCCTGCTTAGGCTGACTGTGTGTCATCGGGATTCACTGAACACCACCTAAATGCCAAGCAGTAAGGCTGAGCTGACATATGCTGGCGGAGGCAGCAGTGTACTGAAATAGAGGCGTGTGGTTTTGTAATGTGAAATGAAGGCCATTGCTGGCAGCGCAATACAAAACCTGCATTCTCACCACAAGGATTCATGCGGATTTTGACTTGCAAAACTTGGAGGCAAACGTATCAACTGATCTGTAACAATATCTCAAACGTCTTTTGTATCTCAAAAATACCCCCCTTTTAATCATCAGCATCTTGAGCAAAAGAGCATGAGCATTTGCATCTTGAGCAAATAAGTACTGAGGACTCAGATAAAAACAATCCTCTGCACTTCTTTTGGAGTTTCCCCAGTTTTTCCTTAGATCAGCAACTAGTGGGCATGGTAGGGATGGGCTGAGGGTTGAACCAGGTGATCTTAGAGGTGTTTTCCAACCTCAAGGATTCTGTGATTCTGTGAAGTGCTCTAAAAGAAAGTGGCTTTCTGTTTGTTTATTTCTTTTTATGTCTTTTCTGTTAGGATTCACAATTAACGTCTCAGTATCGTTAAGCAAGAAGAGGAGTTTCACAACTAACTTTACGCCCTATGTGCTTGTAACTGCTGGAGAAAGGGAAATTAACAGCTTTTAGGTGAGCAGCAACAAAAATGGACTGTTTCTGGACAGTTCAGACTAGCAACAGCAGCTGTTTAGAACACAGACACCTGCATCCTGGTCTTCTGGACTCTACACCAGGCAGAAATAAAACCAATTGACCCAATTTAAGTTAGTTGACAGCTTTAGTATAACACAAATTGTCTCTGAGGAACGCTTGTTTTTCAAGAGAGGTTTGAAAAGTAGCTCAGGTGTAAAAGGTGGTGTCACACCCGGAAGAAAACAACAGTCACCATGTGAACAACAGAGGTGGCTCAGAGAGCTGCAGGGTACAGCGTGACCAGCTGGCAAACAGTGTAAACATGCTTAAGTAACCATGACTAAGTCTGAAGTAAAGCAAACAGTGAGAGAAATAGCTGCTGCTGTGTGATTCAGAACTCCCTGCATGAAACTGAAAGAGAAAAGACAAGGAATGTAACAGCTGGAAGAGGCAGAGGAACTATCGGCCCCTAACAAAGAAGTGCAAGATAGAATCAAAGAATAGTTTGGGTTGGAAGAGACCTTTAAGATCATCTAGTTCCAACCCCTACTACAGGCAGGGACTCCTCCATGTAGACCAGCTTGCTCACAGTCCCATCCAGCCTGGCACTGAACACCTCCAGGGAGGAGACATTCACAACATCTCTGGGCAACCTGTTCCACTGTGTCATCACACTCATAGTAAAAAATGTCTTTCTAATATGTAGTCCAATAAAAAAAAATGACTAGAATGGAGACACCAAACACCTCTGATGAACAAGAGCCACCCAAAGTTTCACACAGCTCCCAGGATGCCTGACCAAAAGACTATGAGATGTTAACAGGAACTACACATTGCCCTGCAGTTCAGCCTGCAGGCAAAGTTCATCTGGGAGAGGAAGGATTTCTCCTTGGCTGAACACTCTCCTTCCCACAATCAACACTTACTGCTTGGGCAACAATGTGGCCCACACCTCATGTCTGCAGAGGCCAAAAGCCTTCCTTTACAACATTTTCCAATAAATCAAAGACCACCATTTGAAGGTGGCTTCCTCAAGCTTCTGTGAAGCAGAAGGGACTTTTTCTCTTTCACCACTTCCCTTACCAAATGTGAAAAGTCTCATTTCTTGCAAACTCAGAATTAATACGGTCTCTTTTCTATGGTTTTCCTTTTTTCCTGAGTATAATTATAAAAATGCTTTTTTTTTTTTTTCTTTTCTTAAAATGCATACACAATTATGCAGCACTTACCTTCCCATTTCTTGACAAAAGGACCTGACAGTATTCGCATAAATCCAGCAAGGCAGATCAGCTCAACTGAGAATTCTTCAAGGACTCTGTCAACTGCACTGTCAAATTCAGTGCGACTTCCATACAGTTTATGGTCAATAACCTGTGACAATTCAAAAAAGAAAGAAACATGAGCAGCGAGTTAATTTAATATAAAAGCCATAAAAATAGGATGGAATGGTACTCAGGAGTCATTAGTAAAAAAGAGAAAACCACCAGTAAATCCCCATGTGACTACAGTTAGATGCCTATACACAGCAAGAACACTTCAAAAAATGCATACAGCTAACAGACAAATAACCAGTCTTAATTCCTATAAACACAGGGTAATTATCAGAAAGCCAAGCTTTATCTCATTAGGCCCACAGCTACAGACCCCAGTGTTTGCATACAATTAAACTATAAATGCAGATCATTAGGATAATCTAAAGTCTAAGAATGATTTCACCTTAAAATATGATTAGTGTTAAGTAACTTGCCTCAGATTATACCACAAAACATTGAAAGAAAGGTCAATCACGAGTATTTAAAAAAGCCCTTACTGTAAAAGGACAGCACCATTGCATTATTTACTTTCCATCTAATACAGACTAATTAATTTCAACAGGAATAAGGTGGTGCTACTTAACTTACTACAATTGTAGTTTTTAAAATAAAAGTACCTGTTAATTCCTACATCACTCACCATGTTGGCACATATAAGTATCATAAAGTAGTCTTGAAAAACCAGAACTAGTGAGCTGAAAAGGTGGCAGGGGGCACTAGGAAGAAAGCCCAGCTCAACCTGGGCTGAACTCTACAATGACACAACTAGGTAATAACTAGTAAAGCAAGTACAACTCTGTGCCTCTGTTCTGTCACTTGTCTTAACCACTGAGACAGTCCTCCAAGATGAAAGTGTGCACAGGGGCCTAATCTTCCATATCATCTCTAGTTACTGCTGAAAAGCGACTGTAAAATGCTCCTAAGTGGCATTTCCTATCTGTAATCAGTGGCATTTCCTATCTGTACACAAATGGCAAAGCAATGCAGCGATGGATCCAATGACACAAAGGGAATCACAGTTTGCTTTGAATGAATCCTGAAAAGACTGAAGCAATGCCCAGGGAAACAATGAGAGGTCTCATTAAGTTCGACCTCTCTTACTTCATTCAAATGCTTCTTCAACGTGTTACTTTAAAAATAAGCTCATAAAATACCCTGCTACTTCAGTGCACTTAAATAAATGGTGAAGCTTAAACTGTAAAAGTTGTGCACTGGTTTAATATAGTGACCATTCCCACCCCATCAGCATTAATAGTAGCATCTCTAAGAGTGAGAACAGGAAGTGATTTGCTCCCATGTTAGGTAGTTTGCCCAGGGGCACAAAGATCAAGACAGAACAACAACAAAACAGTAAGACTTTTTTTAATCGTTATTTCACAGTACTTTTCTGATGTAGTCAGAGCTAATGAAGGTTAATTTTAAAAAGATGAGAAATACTTACCCTTGTAGGAATACCAGCTCTTTCAGCTTTCCTTAGCCCCTCCACACCAGCTTTGTTAGAAACAACAAGAACTATTTCTGCAAAACTGGTGGGTTTCTTTGTGCTATTTATGAGGGCTTCCAGGTTTGTGCCTGAGTGAAAAAATAATTCATGAATATCAAGCTGTTCCCAAGGAATAAATATAGTCAACAGCTACAATAGGTTTTAAATAAGTGGCAATGTGAGTGAGACTCAATCAAAAAACCACCAATGTCAACAGTAATCTCTTATTTATTGACATTACTGGAAACTAAATCTGATACCTGCAGTCTGCAGGGCTTTTACTAGCAATTAGCTATGTAAACTGTAGTTGCTGAAATTGTCCTGATGGTTTACTTCTTAACAAGTGGAAATGCTGGAAGCTCTGGAAGTGACTATGGGGCAAGAGGAAACTGATCTGTTTGTAAAATAATGCTGCTGTCTCAATAGCAAAAAAACAATAACTGCTTGAATCTAGAGACGACAGAAATTTGTAGCTAAAATTAATATATCAATTTATAGTTAGTTTGCTGCAGAGGGTAAAGATCATTTTGTTTCTGAATGAAATTAAGCTAAGGGCAAAATCTATGCTGCCTGTTACTGAGCGCTGAAAGCCTTGTTAGAAAATGAAGCTTACACAGCGCAGACTTTCACAGACTTCAAGAGATTCTGATTCTGAGTTGAAGTTCCTTTTTCAATACTCTAGTAAATAACGTAAACTCTCACCTGTTCCAGAGATAAGGACAGCAACCTTCACTTTGTTTGTTTGGATTTTGCCTTGGATATGGCTGTGCACAGACAATGACCTATTTGCTTGCAAAGCTTGAAGCAGGTTATGGACTTTAACATGGGCAGAGCCTGAAGACACAGAAGGAAAAAAGAAAGTAAATAAAGGCAGAAACACAGAGAGGAGGAAAATATCCATGAAAAGTCAACAGTGACACTGCTTTACTTCTCAATACTTACTTATAGTTCTGGTGACATTTCACATTGCTAAGCACATGTTCTACAGACTAAGACAGAAATCACTAGGACTGACAACTTAATACCCTGTGCACAAAAGCCATGGAGGTGCCAATTAAGTGTTTGTCAGCTGAACGGCATGGAGAAGCATCGATGAAATAATTTAGTTTTTCGTTTTTATCAAGGAAAATAAAAATCCAGTAACCTTTTTGTAGAGGGACAACTTTTCCAATCAGCCAGGCTGCCTCGTGTTTCTGCACTTCCTTGAGCACCTGCTGAGCCAGCTCCTTCTGAACGATCAAAACTGCACCGATCCCACAATTAAATGTCCGAGTCATCTCCTCCTCAGAGATGTTGCCTTCCTTATGGAGCCAACAGAAGATTTCAGGAATCCTCCAGCTAAGAGCATCTGAAGAAAATTGAAAATACAGATGAAGAGTGGGAGGCACTACCTATGCACAAATACTAAAATTATTATAGTACTGAGAGGCAAAATCTAGATGGAAAGCACAGACTAAGTCTCACAGCAGCACTAGTGTGACTGAAATCAGTTTCAGATGCAGAGAAACGGCTTGTTTCTTTCTTTCCTTACTGAACACGACTAGGGAATAGGAATGAAGTTTCACTCAGAGAAAATTAATCATACCCCTGCACTTCAAACTATTAATGAATAATCCGAAATGGGTTGTAAGGCAGTCTTTGGAAAATCCTCCTCTCGATGTTGACAACCCTGCTTCTGGAGAAACTATTGTACAAGAACAGTATCCTTAAAAACTGTCACAAAACCCACAATTCTCCCAGTTCCAACAAGAAAAGGGTGGATATACAGCATCACAAGAAATGCTTCTGGACTAGTCTCTGTAATGGAACTCCAAAGAAAGTAAGTTTCTTTCTTGTCATGTTACGTTTAGTAACTGAAGCATGTAATGGAAGTAATGGAAGCATGATGTACACACAGTTGTAGAATTCAGAACTCTATGATAGTTACAACCCAACTGAACACTGCATAACTTGTAGTAAGTTGTTTACCTTCCCATATTTCACTTCCCTGTAAAAAGTGAAATAATATTTCTAGAGTATCTGATGAAATTGTGATGAGGATTAACTGAAGTCCACTGAATTGTGGGAGATCTACTCCAGCTGGTAACCATATGTGAATGCCCATCAATAACATCACTAACGTTATATAATTACAAGTAATATTGCAGGTTTTTGCAAATGATGACAATTCACTTTGAGTTGCTTCCACATCTATACATGTTAAGATGCAAATGTTTCTCAGCTTTTCTTTCTATCTTACCTAAAACGACACCAAAGGAGTCTGGGAGAACTCTGGGGATGTTTTCCAGCAAGCCTCCCCCAGTGATGTGTGCATAAGCTTTCACGTGGCCTGAGCGAAGGACAGGCAGCAGAGTCTTACTGTAGATCTTAGTTGGGGTTAACAACAGATCTCCTGTTGATGAAAGAAGATGAATGAAGACAATTACAATGCTGGGGGAAAAAAAAAAAAAAAAAAAAAAAAAAGGGTTACTCAATATAAAATTGGGGAAATCTCAAAATACTCATTTGCCGGATAGAAGTGAGCATTGAATAACACAGAAAAACAATGCCTACCTTTCAGCATACAATTAGTATTAGTATAGTACAATTAGCTTTGTACTCTTTCCTGCATACATGATTACAGGAAACAAAAAAAGATGAGAATGTGTTTGAGTAACTTTCTCAGTGCCTTAGAAAAATTACAAAAGCAAAGGCACAGACAAGAAAATTGTGTGAATTTTTCTGTTCAGAAGTTCAAGGGAAGAAACTGCATTAGAAACAGCACCTAATGTCTGATCACCAGAGACGCCAACTCGAGAAGAGAAATCCAGCGATGACTTTTCAACAATCCTCCTTACAAGGCTGTACCCATTGCTGTGAACCCCAGAAGAAGCGACTCCAATAACCACATCTCCATCAGCAATTCTCTCTAGCTGGGGCAGCATTTGCCCTCGCTCTACTGCACCGACAGCAAAGCCTGCCAGGTCATACTCGCCGGGTGGATACATGCCTGGCATTTCGGCAGTTTCTCCTCCTGTGAGAACCAAATAAAAGGTGAAGGGACTATTAGAAAACTACTGAAACCTGCAGTGTGTATGCAGGTTTTCAATGTTTTAAACTCTTAAGACATTAATAAACTGATTTTTTTAGTTAGATAAACAAACATCAGAAGTAATTAAAAACACAGCTTTGTCACAGGCCCTTCAATTAAGCTAGCAATAACAAATTGTGAAAGAACATTTCCCCTTTCTTTCTGATGAGTATCAGATTGCTGTACATTCACATTTGAAAATCATAGCATATATTTAGAGCTTCCTATCTCCAAATTCTGCCAGATCTAATATTCCTCATTAAAAACTTACAAGATACAAGAAATTCATAAAAGAACCTCAAAAGCACAACATTTCTATCAGTTTCACTTGCTACCATAAAGATTTTACACACAATATTGTTCTGACTTCCAGTCATGCCTACAGCCCAAGTATCATTGTTGCCTCAGTTCTACATAACTAAGGTTTATTGACTGTTTTGGGAGAAACCCCTAAAAGATAGGCTTTCTACCCATCCATGCAGCTGAAACAGTAATCCAGGCTATTATCTTATGTTCATTTTTAGGACATCGTTTTATTTTGTTTTTAAAACCATGTTTTGTCTGGATGATGTCATTCAGAATGCAGTTTGAAAAGGTAATTCTCTAGGCTTACATGGAAGTGAGTAACATCACTTAAACATCATTCTCACAATACACACACCAGCATTGGTTCCCTTAGTGTCCTTTGGGCATAAGCTGATGGTCTTTGCTATTGAAGACCTGTGTTCAGCCTGTCATATCTCATTCAGTCTAGAGAGAGTAAATCACTGTATTTAATGCAGGAAAGAAGCATTTACTGCTCTCTGAAGTTTTCTGAACAGCCTTCCTTACACCATTCCATCATTCCAGGGAGGAACTCAAAGCCATATCATTATTATCTTTCAAATTCCTTCACTGGTCCTGATGTCAGCAAGGAAAGAGGTTGAAAATGATTAAGTTGCCATTATATTATGACATCTGCCTAACATATTGACCGGTACTGTTCTTGTTTGCTTGTTTGCTAGATTTCATTCATTCTTCCATTTCAAAAAAGCATCTCTGAAGAGGTTACAAATTGCTCCTGAGCAATGGTGAAGATGGCCTTCTGCTCAGTGCTTGACTGCTGCTCAATTCTAGATTCCCTATAACTGTTTCACGTTTTCACAATACGCTCCTGTAACCAACTTTAAAAATCAAAGTTCATGCTAAGAAGTGTCATTTGCTTAGATACCTTGGTTTTAAACCCCATTGAATAACGTGTGAAACTGAGCATCTAGGTATGTCCATCAGTACCTCACTAGTAAGAGCTTAAGGTATTTGAGCAAAGTATTCAGCTATTGTAGATATGCATGGAAAGAATTCAGGAACATGCTATAAAACAAGACTCACCACTTCGCTGATGAAGTGATTCTGTACAAAGACAGAGCTACATGCTGCATGCATGCACAGTGACACAAATGTCTTAAGCCAGAGCCCAAACTGAAATTTATTTTAATGATTCTGGAGAAGAGGAAGCTCAGGGGAGACCTCATTGCCCTCCACAACCACCTAATAGGAGGTTACAGAGAAGTAGAGTTGGCCCCTCCACTCTGGTAACAGAGACAGGATGAGTGGGAATGGCCTCAAGTTGTGCCAGGGGAAATTCAGGTTGGGTATTAGAATAAATTTATTTTCCAAAAGAGTGATGAGGTATTGCAAACAGGCTGCCCAGGGAGGTGGTGCAGTCACCGTCCCTGAGGTGTTCAGGAGCCGTGTGGATGTGGCACTGAGGGACGTGGGCAGTGGGCGTGGGGGGGGTGGCTGGTGGCTGGACTGGAGGATCTTAGAGGACTTTTCCAACCTTAATGAGTCTGTGACTCTAAGATTCAGGCTACAGAAAAACATTTCTGCCTTAGATACACAGTTTCTGCAGCCTCTTTGTATCTTCCCTTTGGATAGTGTCAGAAATCTGGGGAGTAAATCATGGTTGTTTTACGTACGAGTTCTGACTTCCTTCAATTTCAGCACAAAAAAGATATTTACTAACCATTTACAAAATTGACATATCATTTTCTGGTACTAATTTACAAGTCTTTAAAGCCCTTTGCATTTTGAAAGTCTTCCAATTGGAAATAAAATCTTGAAATTTCAGTAAATGGTTTAATAGCAAGATTTCACCTAGCATGTACTTAAGCTGAAATATGAATGGTAAGATTATATTTGATAACCTGAGAGAACATTTTAAGACAAAACATAAAACTGGCAAACACTTCATGCAGAAAAAAACAAACAGAACATAAATAGCTCCTTCTTCTAAGCTTGTAAACTCCATCAAAATAAGACATACTCATTTAGAAGCTACTTTTATCACCAGCTTTCTTAAAAGAGTCAAAAGAACAAAGTACCAATTATCAGGTGGTACATAAAGCAAGATAATCGAACAGTCACTTTCATTCTCAAATCAAAAGCCTTTTGAAAAAGTATGGCAGTTCTCCAAAGAATATTTTTATAAAAGAGGAAAAAAAAACCAATGGCCTTATTATGAAGAAACAATTTTCGGGGTTTCATTGCTTTGGAACTTAACCCTGTATTATATTTCTTTCATAAATGAAAGACTTATAGAAAACATGTCTTTCCCACTGACCTAGAAATATTTTTATTGGGTTGAACAGTTTTAAATGTATATCTTTTAGGATTTATAAAGTAAAATTGTGTATTATTTTCCATGGAGAACTAGACTACTGTATACCACAATACATATATCATTTGTTAGTAAAATGTACTATGGACTTGTATTATAGGGCCTAAAAGGAAAATACTTAAATTTGAGTCTTAACAGCTTGGAATATGCTTTAATTTTTTGTTTTGTTTGTCTGTCTTGTGGTTAATATCTGCGTCTTAAGAAGTGAGCTCCAACTCAAGTTTCTTCTGCATTTATAAACACGCTTTCTGGCTTTCCAGTTATATGATCTTGTGAGAATAGACTGAGCTCTATTTTGCTGCCAAATTTGTTTAAAATCAGCCAAGAGGTTCAAAAGGTATTATGTACACATACAGGGAGACATATATGCATAGTAACACATACAAATCTTGTTTCTAGAGGAAAACTCTAAAATTTTCTCTGAGATAAAGGATAAAAACCAAGCCTATTTGGCATGTTTTCAAATTCATTTGAAGAATACAAAGAATTAAAATTCATGAATTGTTAGTTTTCTAGGTACTTGTTATAGTCACAAAGTTAAATAAAAATACATGAATAAGAAAATGTATAATGCAACTTCCCGAGCATTTGTAAAGTACTTTCTTCTCTCAGTAGGCAGAAAACAAAGACGTGACCTTTTTTTCTCGGCTCTAAGATTCTTTAGCAGACAAGGAAAACAAGCACATTAAAACCAATTATAAAGAAACTGCATACAATTTTTCACTCCCTTCAAAGAAAAAGTGTGTCCATACCCAAAAGAGCACATCCTGCCTTTTGGCATGCTTCAGCTATTCCTGCAATGACACCCTGAGCCACTTCAACATCAAGTTTACCACAAGCAAAATAGTCAAGGAAGAAGAGGGGCTCTGCTCCTTGAGCCAGGATGTCATTGACACACATAGCAACCAGGTCTTGACCTATAGTGTCATGTTTCTTACACACTTGTGCAATCTGCAAAACACAGTGAGAGAACCTGTTGGTTAGATTTCAGAAACTCAAACACAAGCAAAGTCTGCAGTGGCAGGGGACTCATGTTCTTTCTTTAGAAGCTTTTTGAGGAGCAGCTTTAGCTAATAACACTTTTGTTTCTCTCCTACAGTTCTATTTTAGGAATTTGTACTTTCTTAGCAAGTACCAAATGAACTTTACTGAAGGAGACTGGAGTGAAAAGGATTTCATCATAGTTTGTGTAAAAGCTACAGCAACCATATAATTAAATGTTTTCTCTGTGAGTAATCTTCTCAAAGATTTTTCTACCTGTAAGAATGAGCTACTTTAAGCTTCTTCTCAAGGATGGCGATTTACATGCCAAAATGCACAGTAAATTATTTGGCATCAAGAAGGCAATTAAGTTTTTCATTTCCTTTCCAGAAATATAAATAGGTATTTTTAAGCACAACTGATCTTTCGTGGTAAAAAATAGATAGCTGTGTGATCAAGCAATTTCCATTCTGTATGTCAATTTTCACATTACCTTGAGTTTTGTGCCAACACCATCAGTTCCAGATACCAAGATAGGATCTTTGTAACCAGCTGCTTTCAAATCAAAGAGGCCAGCAAATCCTCCAAGTTCTGCATTGCAGCCTGCCAGCCAGAAAAAAAGAAAGAAAAAAGAAAAAAGAGAAAATAAACTTTTATAGGCTTCTTCAGGATCTCTAACATCAGCAAATTCTCTCTGAATTCTCTCAACATGACTTTGTCACCATGAGACTTTTCTCTGACACTTACAGCATCTTCATAGAGACACAGAATCTCCTAATTCTCTTAAGTTCGCTTTGTTTTTTCAATATTATTATCTAAAGCTAAAAATATAAAACTTTGTGACTGAATATTCAATAATGACCGGGACTGCTGCATTTAGTATTTTTCTGAAATACAGGAAAGGAATTGTTGTGACAGTCCTAAGTCTACTACTTTATAGGACAGAATGAATACTAAATATTTTCCAATGGAAATCCCCTCTCTCTTTGTTACTAATGCCTATGGTACTTTAAGAATCTCTCATCCAAAGACTGGTTATGACAGGGTAAATACGGTAATCTTAAAACCGAACTTGGTTAAATCCTAAGATTGAAACAAATACGAGTGACAAATACTATTAATGCTAACAGATGACTACTTCTACTAGTATGTATCTCCATTTGCCTCTCGACATATAGCTGAAATTATTTGAAGGTTCTCATATAATTTGAATTAAAAGCGATATATCATAAATGATTGATATTTTAATTTTACCATAAGAATTACAAGGACTTAACAGACCAAGATATTACAAAATAGGATACCTGATATTACAGAAAAGGATGGGCTGATTCTGTTTGGTATAAGCAAAAGATATATGACATCTATCTCAAGAAATAGTATATCTGAAAGTATTGGTGAAGAATTCAATATCTTGTATCACTTGTATTTTTTTCTAAACATTTATCTACAAAAATTGTACAGCTATCTAAGCAGGAATGGATAATCCACATAATCAAAGTAGAATTTTTTGCTTGCATTTGCCTTTTTTGAGTAACGAATCATATTTTCTAATGCCTTTAATACATATGACATTTGGGAGATAAATTTTAGAGTCATTTGACAAGAAAATCTGTAATCTTAAGGAGCTACATTTTGAAGAAATCACAGGCATTAGGTTACATACCACTACTATTTCTAGTGTAATCTAGACCTACACAGAATACGTAAGTATTTGGATCAAGATGATAAGCCCTGTTACTGTGAACCAGCTGAAAGAGAAATGAAGGTCCATCTCTTACCAGATCTTGATGTGGCTGCAGCTAGAGGTTTAATTTTCTGAACCAAAATATTCCCTGCTGCGATGTCTACCCCACTGTTTTTGTAAGTCAGGCCTCTGAAAGAGTGTTAAAAAATGTTTCAACAACTGATTACTAAATGTAAATACACGTATTTTAAAATAATATTTATGTTTTTGTATCATTGTTTCAACAAGGAGATTAGCCACTCAAAATCCTATACTGCTGCCAGTGAAGTTTTTCAAGTATCACTCTTTTCCTACTTTTACAACAACTTCAATCACAGAAAATGATTTCTAGGTATTGCAGTACTTATTCCACATAGACTCAGTAACTCAAAGGTTAATCTTTTCCTGTTTGGTTCCTGACATCACATATATACCTGAAGAAAGGGACTATTAGACAAAAAATAAAAAATTAAAAAATTAAAAAATCCCTCAGCCATGATGTAAGTGGATCAGTGGATCCAATTTTGTAGGCTAGAGCCATATAAGATCAATGTCAAGTTAGCTTCTCTAAATCAAAGTATCAAATAAGTTATTTCTCTGTGACTTCTGGAGTTTTACAACTGTGGCTTAAAGCTGCCTCTCCTCATCACCTTGAGTGAATACCATCACAAAAACATCTGCACCTCTTTTCTTTTTACATGCATAGTACAAATGGCTGTATGTAACTTGTCTGTTCCCGTGTTCACAGTGGGACCTTTTCATTTTGGAGATGATGCAATTAATGACTAATACAGGTACAGCAAAGCAACTACTGTAAAAAACAAAGACCTGTGCTACCAAGCAAATACAAAAGTACCTGCACATGCATTGTATCACTGCTAAAAATTTGCAAGAAGAAAATTATCATAAGCAGCAGCTGTTCAGTCTGTGAATAAGGCTCAATGAAATATCAGCTTTCAATAACAAGAGACAAAAGTCAGCCCCTTTCAGCCTGAACATAATCAATACTCTACATATTTTCACTTCATTTTGAAAAAGCACGATTCTTTAAAAGGAAAGCAGTTTTTTTTTAAATACTTATTAAAAAAATCTTCTGTATATTTTCGCAGAGGGAAATGCATAGGACTTAACCCTGCCAAGCTACTGGGAGGGAGGAGGGAGGGAGGAGGTGCATCCCCAACCTCACAAAGCCGACCATCATGGCCTGTTCTTCCAATTTTAGGAGAGGAAATGATGTTGCAGACTCAAGGACAGTGAAACAAGCACTGACTGTAGGCAGCCTCAAGGAAACTCTTGCATAAGGTAGAGATCATTGGCATAGATGCACTCCAGTCAAGAAACTTCGTGGCTCTGGCTCATGAGCTCAGTGCTTTAGAGAACTCTTTGTTATTCTCCTCTCACACAAGGACAACACAAACACAAATTACATATTTTCACACAAATTTGTCAAGAGATGCACAGTGCTTGAAAAGGAAGACCAGGTAGGAACATCCTTGTTCATGTAGTGTGTTTATTGATTATTGATTATAATTTTACAATTATAATTATATTGATCATAATTTTACAATAAACTAATCAGTATACACTGTTAGCAAAAAAACCCTTACTACTAGCATGCTTCATAGGCTACAAAATAGTCAATTATCAAAAGTTATGTTTTAAGCTATTTAGAGAACGAGCAGGCAGATATGCCTTATATTAGCTGAAAATGAGTATAAAATCTTGCAAAAAAAAAATCTCAATAGCATCAGAGACACAGCAAGACACACTGCTTTAAAAAAAATACTCTCTTAAGACTGTATATAGTATAGTAATAATAATAGTATAGTATAGTAATAAGAGTGATAAATTTTACCCAGGTTTTTAGTCAACTGTTATAATGTATATATCACAACTAACTGCTTCTAAAGACTCTAAAAGGACTTGATAAAATAGCTCTAAATTTGTTCATGTATATTTTTCATGATAGTAACATATGTTTGGACAACTGTTCTAGAGCAAAAGTGACGGTTGAAAGTGTAAGGAACAAAAGATTTGTTTTCCAAAAGCAGACAGAACACAGATTAAAGTTACTTTTGCTTGTCACTGTAGCTTAACTCAGACTTGGGAAAATAAGAACACGAATCAAAGAGCTATCAAAAAGCCTGTTCCTTCACTGGCTGGTCTTGCTAAGACTGCCCACTAGGATACCAGTTAACACTTGTAGAGTTATGTATAATCAACATCTATTTATAAATGTAAAATAGTGATGTCTTTAAGTCCCTTTTAAACCAGTTGTTTCCATTTCAAGAATTTCAGATATCTACCTGGATTGACTCAGGAAAGCTATAGCCCGATAACCAATGTCCTTCCTATAAATGGCACCCTTGAAGTTTATGGCTGCTACTCCCTTGTTGGCTTCTTGCAGTGCTGTCATTAGATCTTCTTTAATAGCGGTCACTGTAAGGACTCTTCCTCCATTAGTCACCACTTTGCCATCCTTCAGGGCTGTGCCTGCATGGAACACCTCCAGTCCTAGTTCTTTAGCCTCAGAAAGTCCTGTGATTGTTGTTTAATCAAATAAATCCAGGAGGGAAAACAAACAAACAAATAAATAAATAAATAAAGATCATTAGGACATTTTTCAATTAAATACTCAACAATTACTCTTTCTAGAAACAATCCAATTCAGTGTAATCATTCTAGGGAGTACAAATAAATCTTTTAAATAAACTACATTTTGTGGAGAGATGAGTCTACTGCTTGCATGCTCAGAAACACAGAAAGGTATTTAGCTATGATGGATTTTATACTTCAGTGACATAGAGACCACAGAACATATCAGCATCAATATTATATAAGATAGGCCCAGAAGTATTTCACTGTAACATGTTAAAGAAATGCTACAAAACTTAACAATATGGTACAGAGATTTTAAAACACTATGGGTGCACTAGTAGTCTTTAATGCATGAAAATTCAGTTGACCCATAACGACAAGATCTTAAATTTCTATGAATCTGGGTAAAAGAGAGACTGGAGAGAGGTGGGAGAGTAACCAAACCTCTGCAGTTTCTCTTGCTGTATTTACCTGTTATTTCCAAACCCTTCGGATACGTTCCTGGATACCCTCCACTAGCCATGACCACAGTCACAGCTGCACTGTCTTCAAACCAGACTGGCATGGAACTAGACAGCTTTTTATTGATAACTGCTTGCATAACTTCGTATAAATCACTTTTCAACAGTGGAAGAATCACCTACAAAAATATAGATTAGCTTTTTTTTTTTTTTTTCTTCCCATTTTCTTCATGGAGCTTTAAAAATATTGCATCAACTGTAAAAATGAGCTTTCACATACTGTATTTTCACACATATATACATGTTATGCATAATCTATGTACTTCTAAAAAGACTTCTCCTTAGAGATTATTTCTCTGGATAAAATAACTGCTGTGTATGGAAACGGAAAGGTAGAGGCCAAAGAAGCCTACTGTGCTCTGAAGAATGGAAAAAAAGAGTTTTGTTCCACCTGTCAAAAGGGAGTGGAAAAGGACATGCTCATTTTTTAAGTAAATATAGGGGGAAAAAAAAAAAGACCATTAAATTCTGGAAGAGATATGGAAATACTGAGTTCACTCTTGTAACTCAGCTCAGTCTTGTAAAATCCATAGTTGAGTATAACCTGCTAAAATTTGGAACGGAACAAAATAATAACAGACTTTCTGTCTTGAATCAACTATCAAATATTTTAAATCTCAGAGCAATTAGCTAATTATTAACCTGAAAGTTAGTAAAGAATAATGGCAGACAGTATATCAGACATTTCTCCTCCCATGATAATAAACTGTATCTACAAAATCACTCACCTGACATTCTGGGTCACCAAATCTGCAGTTAAACTCTAGAACTTTAGGCCCATCTTTAGTAAGCATTAACCCAGCATAAAGCACACCTAAAATTAAAAAAAAAAAAAAAAAAAAAAAAAGCATT